TGTGTGTGTGTGTGTGTGTGTGTGTGTGTGTGTGTGTGTGTGTGTGTGTGTGTGTGTGTGTGTGTGTGTGTGTGTGTGTGTGTGTGTGTGTGTGTGTGTGTGTGTGTGTGTGTGTGTGTGTGTGTGTGTGTGTGTTTGTAGTAGTGCTGCATGATAAATTAAATATTCACATATAATGTGATTTTCAAAATGTTGTAAATCTATCAAAACTTTTATTGGAGCATCTAAGAGCTCATTTTGTATCTGTACATGGGTCAATAAGATTTTTTATATTTGAAAGAAAGAAATACTTTAATACTGTAAAAGTATTTAAAATGTTACAGAAGATTTCAATTTCCACAAAAATATGTTCAACATTGATAATAATCGGAAATGTGTTTTGAGCAGCAAATCATCATATTAGAGTGATTTCTGAAGGATCATGTGACACTGAAGACTGGAGTAATGATGCTGAAAATTCAGCTTCGATCACAGGAATAAATTACATTTAAAATATATTCAAATAGAAAACAGTTATTTTAAATCGTAATATTACAGTATTTTTACAATATTACTGTTTTTACTGAATTTTTTGATCAAATAAATGCAGTCTTGGTGAGCAGAAGAGACTTAAAAAATCTTATTTTTTCATTTTAACGGTAGATGTTGTGTTTGTGTGCTGAACTGCACTCTCTCTCTCTCTCTTTCTCTCTCTCTCTCTCTCTCTGTCTCAGTGCTGGTGTCGGCAGAACAGGAGTCTTCATCACTTTAAGTATTGTCCTGGAGCGGATGAGGTATGAAGGGGTGGTGGACATGTTCCAGACCATAAAAACCCTCCGCACGCAGAGACCTGCCATGGTACAGACAGAGGTAAGCTCACACAAACCCCACACTCTCTGGTGTAAAAGGAATGGTTCAACTGAAAATGTAAAAGTTCTCATGTTGCTGCAAATCAGTAAGGAATGAGGCTGAGAACATGATCCACTTTTAGGTGAAGCATTAGTTCAAGCTCCTCCGGGTGGTTTAGTCTGTGCTGCTGTGTTTTAAAGAGGACCTATTATGCCCATTTTCAAAGTCTTGAATTGGTAAAGTTGGTTATCGTTCATGGTGTGAACGGGCCTTAACTCCCGCTGGAGGGACTTTGTAACTTTGCAGAGCTTTTATATGCTCAAACAGCAACATTACACACTAAGGGTCTCATTCATGAAACATTCGTAAATATACGAGTAAATATGAGAGTGATTTGCGCGTAAAGAGACCTTCCCGAAAACTCTTCTCCTGATTCACAAATACTTCGTAAACGTCAGATGTGATAGTGAAATGTGTGTGTGTGTTAATGAATTCCAATCAGTCGTAAATGGGACGCGCGTGCACGCTCATTCTCAATTACCATAAATCCCGCCCATTAAATCCGACTGACAACTATATATGGGCATCATATTATGACACCAAACGAAGGATTTCAACATGTCTTCTCAAAAGCGAATGAAAAAGAAAAATTTCTCAGATGCAGAAATCAAAGTTTTATTATCAGAAGTTCATTCAAAACACCACATTTTATGTTCAAGCGTAGGCTACATAGTGGCGTATCAGGTCCTAAAGAAAAGCAAGCTTGGCAGCGTATTACAGATGCAGTTACTGGAGTTTCATCTGTTAATCAAACAGTCCCAGAAGTAAAAAGAAAAAACGTATGTAATTACCATATATAATGTTTTTTCCAAATGCGGTGTAAATATGTACCCGATTTAGGGGAATTAAAATGCAGCGTTAGTTATTAATGAGCAAAACGTTCGGATGTTAAACTCACTATTTACGCGTGGCTGGAGCAGGTGTAGATTTCTTTCCTACCAACTAACATTTGGAAAATACCAACATTTTAATGAATCCGAAAATTTACGCCAGAAGCACTTTACACACGATTTACACAAAAATGCATTCTGCTCGTGTTTCATGAATGAGACCCAATGAGTTTACATGTTGAAGATGTAAAAAAAGCATAATGGGTTGTGTGTGTCCCGTGTGTGCAGGACCAGTACCAGCTGTGCTACAGAGCAGCTCTGGAGTACCTGGGCAGCTTCGATCACTATGCAACGTAACCACTCCCAGAATGCCTCAGAACGCCACATCCGGAGAGCCGCCGCTTCCTTCTGAGCCATAATCATCCTACCTATTCAGTCACCACAGCTGGAGGGAGAAAGAGAGACTGGGAGAAGAGGAATATCAGAAGAGAGGAGACATCACAGGACGTCTTTCACTGGAATCCCTGCAATCCTGTTCCTCTCTCTGAAAACAGCAACAAACGCTTGGTTCTGGTCTCTAATGCACAGCTCCTGTCTCTGTATTACCTTACTGCTTGATTTTTATCATCATCATCGGCCATTGTTTTTATTATTATTATCATTATTATTATTGTATCATCAGTACGATCTGTCAGAAAACACAATATTTGTATCATTTATGCTGATCATTGCATATCTAAGGGGTTCTTTTTTATTCTTATTTGTTTCTTATATTATTATTATTCATTTGTGATTTTTTTCGTATATGTTCAATTATTTTTAGCACATGTGGACATGTATTTTCACATGACCCAGGTTACTAATACTGTAAGAGGAGTGTTCAGAGCTGCTGATGATTTCTTACTTTTTATCATTGTCATATTTTAAATTATCTACTTTATTTGGTGGGAAAAGTGGAACTTTTATAAATAAATAAAAAACAACCTTTTCACCTCTTGATACTTTATAAACCCATATAATCAAATATAAAAGAGATGAAAGGCTTCCACCTGAGTTAGTGACCTTGATGAACCTGCTGTCGTTAAGGACACGGACTAAACTAACCAAACGAGAGAACACATTCAGACTCGTTCTGCTCTGTGTGCAGTCGTTTTCTGGAAACCCTTCTGTTCTAAAGGCCTATCGAGTGAAAGAAAGACAAGAAAATGGTGTTCTTGCTGCCACTGCAAAGCCCTTGTTCCATGCCGGGTCAGCTGAGGTCAAAGGTCAGCTTGTTTTGAACGACCTGCCCACACATGTACAGCCGCCACGTGTCGTTCCTCCAGTTGAACCTCTGCCATCTAGCATCTGAAGCGTGAGAAAACAGACGACTCGCCTCACCGGCTGAGGCTGGGAATCCGAAACCTCCTGAACTCTCCACATGTGGTATTAACAGCCATCTGATCATCTCACCGTGGCTCGTAAAGACAAATCTCCCGTAGTGTCACGACAGCATCATTGGTCTGGAAATATGTGCATACTCAAGTGTTTCTTTCCTCCTATGGCCTGAGCACAAAGGAAGATGAAAAATGCAGACATGGGATGAATTCATTTGACTTTGTGTTCACATGCAGACTAAAAAACGGCATTCAATCTGTTGTACAGGCAGTCTGTTTTCTATTTGTTAATAAAAAGGAGAGAAATATGTGTTAATAAAATGCTTAATTGGGTTTTGTACATGTTTCTTGTGAGGCTTTGCTGTATCTTGGTTCCTTCAGCACATTTCCAGGGGAACAGATGGTCCCTCTCCAGTGTGTGTGTGTCCTTGCCAGAGAGCCAGATCTCCGTCCATCTCAGTTTAATGTGAAGGCATGTGGACTGGATGTTCTACATGATTCATTAGTTGTGGAACACCTGGAGACTTTAGTCCTCCTCCAAAAACCCAGCTACCGGACAGGAAGGTTTGCTAATTGTATTAAAAACTAACTATATAACTAAAATAGCCCCTTTGCTCTAAGGTCAGAGTTGTTGTTTCCTATTGTAGATACTAATTAACAAATAATTACACTTAATTCCCAGTTTGTTTGACAATAATCAATGCCTTTGATTATTGCTGGAGCTTCAAAAATAATTTAATGGCACATTTTTTTAACAGGCGGTCCGGAAACTGACAACAATTTGTCCAAAGGTTAAATAGTCATTACAAATTTATTTCAGATATTGCAGATGCAGTGTCTTACACAGAGGTATGTTTCTTCATGCACAAGTAATATAAATGATCTATTGAATTTATATATTTATGGCTCTATATTTTTAGAAATAATGTTTATTATTTATGCAGTCTACTATATATATTCACATTGGCAGTATATGGCTCGATAAAGGTTGATAGCTATATTATTTGTACAATAGGCTATATCACATGTAAATGGTTGCATATGTATTTAACCTATATATTCTGTGGGAGTATAAACTATTCTTTATGTTTGCATCCATATGACAGTAGAGATGTATTTCAGATATATTATCTGCATAATTTTATATAAAAACAGCTATTTGGCTGTGTATTGAGATGCATGTACTGAGTTAAATAATCTATGACTAAAGAGATGCACTATCTAAATACAAATAATCTATATAATATGCATACACCGTATAGGCTACTCAGACATATGATATTTGAGACATATGCATGCACGTATGAGCATATGTATGAGCTTTATGTAATATGTATAAGGTTAAAATATTATGTATAAACTATTTATGATCACTATAGGCCAGTAGGTACATCTATGTTACTCTATATGAGATGCATGTATAGCGCCTACAGTGCCATACACCGAGATGTATACATGTATATATATATATATATGTAATCAATATCTAAAAGGTTCTGTCTGGGATTTATTAGAGACCTCATAGAACTTAAATGGAGTGTGTTATACACTCATCTACTGTATATTATTTATGTATTCCATAGCTATCTACTTTATATGGCCTCATGATTCATATTATATATATAAGCCCCCATACCATATGTGGAGTGAATACCTACAGTATACCCTATGATCTATATGACTGCATCTAAATAACTCTTTATCTATATAATACAATAGTCTATAAACAATAGGCTATATATTTTTTATAATATGATCCAAATTATTCTATGATCCCATATCGTTCATATAGAGAGATTTATACCTACACAATTTCCATATTATCTTATCTAAAAGGCCCCATGTGCAGAGCGTTGATTAGGGGCCGCGCGCAGGGGAACGCCTTCTTCCATCTTTGTAAACAGTGTGCGCGCATGCGCAGTCGCGCTTCACTCTAATGGAGGACATGTCTGGTTTGTAAGCGTCTTTTTCTGCGCTGTTTTTCTGAGTTTGCGCCCTCAACATCCCTCAACGGAGCCCGCGACACCCGTGAGTAAAGTCCTCTCAGCCTCTCCTCACACATATGCGCTGGTTTGTGTGTGTGTGGGGTGATTTCATGTGTGTTTTAGTGCGTGAATGCTGGTGTTTACAGTAGTTAGCCAGCAGGCTCATCAAAGTTTGGAGCGGATCAATAATTCATGTCATAACACAGTTATACACTTCCAAAAGCCTTTAATTACACTGTGTTGAGGTATATGAGCGTGTGTGTGTTGAGCTGAAGCGGTGTGTTTGTGCGACAGGAGTAAGTTTGTGTTCATTTGAGCGGCTTTAGCCGTCAGTGTGTGTTTGATGTTGTTTTTGCTGTGAGTTTGAGAGATTTCGGGGTCAAACTTTAAATGTTCCTGAGCAGAACCTGATGATGAGATCATGACACATTTATAGATGTGATGCTTTCTGATTAAACTCTCTGAATTATCATATATTATGTGTTTATCTGGCTAATGTCAGCTAGCATGCTAGTGTGAGTTTACACAGGTGCTTCAACATTCACAATCATAACAGTTATTAAACACTACAGTGGGTTAATGCTTTTTATTACATACTGTGAGCTTGAATAAAAGAGTTTAGTTATGTATTTGTGTAAAAAAATGCATGTAGTTTATCATATAATGTTGATAATTGGAAAAAAGTTCATTAAGGTTATTTCTGTCAGTAAAGTCGTGCATGTTGTCAACTGTCATACGTTGTTTTAATCTAGTTTTCCAAGTTTAAATCAATTTGAACTTAATTAATATTCTCTAATTAACTGCTGTTTCATTGTTGTTTTTCTAAATAATTGTTTTAAGTTTAGTTTAGTTGTTTCAACAGGTTGGAATATTTATACTTTTTGTATTATTATAATTAAATATAATTATAGTCATAATTTAAAAAGATTAATAATTTTAATTAAATGAAAACATATTTGTAATTATTTTATAAACAATCATTTTTGATTTTGAATTAAACATTAAATAGTTTTTGAAACTGAGCTTTTTTATTACTTAATGAATATTTATGTATTTATTTTTAAATTATTTAAATTTGAATTGTATATTATGCTTTTATTTCTCTTTTCGTTATTATTATTATTATGATATTTTGAGTTTAAAGTTATCATGAATATGTGTTTGCGCCTTGACTAGTAGTAGTAATAGTAGTGGTGGTTTACATGTGGAGTTTAGTAGTTGGTCAGGTGATGTTTTCTGGAGCAAAACACTTTTTAGGAGAGTAATCTAAATGCAATGCAAATTTTACCCACCAATGTTTCTGTGGTGTGGTTGTTGCAAGAGTTAAAAACAAAAAAACGAGTGTTATGTTACTGATTTTGTGTTGTTGTTGATTTCTTTGTTGCTGAATTCTTCATGTTTTTCATACAGTTCAAGTGGCAGAATGGCTTCGGACGCGGTCTCTCAAAGCTCCCAGAGTCCTGCCATCAGGATCATGACCTTTCATCCCACAAAAGAGGAGTTCAAAGATTTCAACAGATACATCGCATATATGGAGTCGCAGGGGGCGCACAGAGCCGGCATGGCAAAGGTTAGCCGCTCTTTGTTGAAGTTGATAATAAGATTTTCCTTCAGCTCAAATCGCTGTGAGAGACTTTTTCGTGTTGTGGATGGGAAGTTTGCAACTGCGTTTGTTTGTTGCAGGTGGTGCCACCAAAGGACTGGAAGCCCCGGCGTACATATGATGACATCGATGATCTGGTGATTCCCGCCCCTATTCAACAGGTGGTCACTGGCCAATCAGGGCTCTTCACTCAGTACAACATCCAGAAGAAGCCAATGACAGTCCGCGAGTTCCGCAAAACCGCCAACACAGACAAGTGAGCAGCAAATGTTGATGTGTTTAGATACGGTTGAATCCTAATGCCTAATTCGGTTAGAGCTGGTCCGAATACCATTTTTTGAACTTCGAAGCTTCGGTAGTAATGAACATCAAATATTCGAAGGTTCGGAATCTCTATATGTCAGTCTGTCCGTTTGCATTTTGATTATTTCGAGAACCGTTCATCCACACGACTTCACAAGGAGTGCAGTGTCGAATGTGGTGCAATATAGATAGACAGGCGAGACGCGACACGTTCAGAATTAATTAACTTTTAATAAACTACAGAACAGCGCGAGCCTCACGCGAGCAGAGCTTATATGCTCCGAGAATGGACACTGCACTAATTATATAAAACACACACAGGTCTGTTAACTTAAGCAATATTTTTAATAAGGTAGTTTAATATTTTTCTCACTAACAAATTACTGACAAAGTAGGGTAGATTTAAATAAAGAAGCGGCGCGCCTCGCAAGCAGGGCTTATATGCTCCGAGAACGGACACTGCGCTAGTGATATAAAACACACACACACACGTCTTTTAACTTAAGCAATATTTTTAATAAGGTAGTCTTACAATATTTTTCTCATTGACAAAGTAGGGTGGATTTAAATAAATATATATATAAATATAGAAAAACTAAATTGAAAAAAAAAAAAAAAAAAAAAATACGTGACGTCCCTGTAAAATCTCAAAGTCTCCTATATTTAGCAGTAGATTAATTTAGATTGATAAGGGTAAAAAGGATAATACATTTCTATTATTCTATGTTCCACAATGTCAAAGCAACGCAGCTTAACCCAAAACACAAGCTCAGGCATGCACTTCTGTCCACACACACTCCGCTGTTCTGCGCTATAGCCAGAGAAGACTCCCGTTGCAGGAACACGTTTAGTAGTCCAAGAAGAAGCACATATATTTATTAAGTAGATATAACAAAGTTATATGTTAAGGATTATATTTCACCAGATTTTATAGTGTAAAACATATTTAAGCGCGAATGAGAACCGTTTCGAGGGGGATGAAAAATAAAAGAATATTCGAATGTCACATTTTCAAATCGAATACCAACACACCGAACGAATATTCGAATATCCGGGTCCAGCCCTAAATTCGGTAATAACCTTTTGAAATCAAAATGACTGCTAATTTGCTTTTTAATAAATGTAATGGCATGCAGGATTAATCATATTATGTTCTAAAGGAATAACATTCTCCACATATGAAGTGACTTTCCTTTTTTGCTGATGTAACTACACTGCCATTCAAAAGTTTGTTTGATGAATAGAAACGTGAAAAAAAAGGATTAAATCTTATACATGTCTTGACCTATAAAAGTACAGACCCCAAACTTTTTTAAACAGGAGTGTAAGTCGGATTGAACAGGGAAACGTAATATTAGCTGAGAATATCATAGCCTACTTTTCAAATCTCGAGGCACAAAAACATATCCTGGCCAACATTATCACCCACTGTTTATTCTTGTTCGCTCTGAGATGCGTCACATTATAAAAGTAATGCATTGAGAATGTCGTATCACAACGATTCTCTAACTCGACTCCAGGTTCTGTAATCCCATATATGCTGATTTTGATGAACTGGAGAGGAAATATTGGAAGAATTTAACATTCAATCCACCATTATATGGAGCAGACATCAGTGGAACCCTCTATGATCCGGTGAGTAATCTTTTTGTTACTATATTTCAGTTGTAACCCCTGTACACACAGTGTCATGATAGTGCACATATTGCATATTGTGTTATTGTATATTATATATTGTGTTATTGTATATGCACATATTGCATATTGTATATAGTGCACATATCAATGATTGCACATATATATGTGACTGTATACAGGACGTGACGGAGTGGAATATTGGTCGTCTCAACACTATTTTGGACACTGTGGAGAGAGAGAGTGGAATCACTATCAAAGGAGTAAACACTCCATATCTTTATTTTGGGATGTGGAAGAGCACATTCGCCTGGCACACAGAGGACATGGATCTCTACAGCATTAACTACCTTCACTTTGGAGAACCCAAGTCCTGGTACTGTCTCTCAACTCGTGTTTAATGTTTGCATTTACCCATAGGAAACAGTAGGGGTGTCACGATTCTCCAAATCCTCGATTCGATTACATTTTCGATTCTAAGGTCACGGTTCGATTCGATTCTCGATTTTTACATTTATTTTTTTTTAAACCGAAACCGGTCAATCAGGATGCTCTCTGTCTTACATGCGCTTCATGAGGCACACACGCAGGGTATCTCGCTCTCTCCCTCTCTGCAGTGCGCGCAATACGGTTTGGAGCACAGCACAGCTAAGTTAGAGGAGGTTGACCATAGACTCGCAGCACTTCAACACGCGTGTGTTTTTCCGCTTGGCACGCCGACCGGATGTCACATGGGGGCGTGGCAGCATCGACCATTCCATTTTTTAATTCAAAGTTCGAGGTTGTGAATTAATTTCGGTGACACCCTTAGGAAACAGGAACTATAGCTCATAAGAAGCATTTGTTCGTATACACTACCATTCAAATGTTTTTAAAAGAAATTATTACTTTGATTCAGCAAGGACGCATTCAATTGAAGCGAAGTGACCGTAAAGACATTTTTAACATTACAAAAGATTTTTATTTCAAAGAACTGCTGTTCTTTCTATTACATCAAAGAATCATGAAAAAAATGAACAGTTTTCAAATTTAAACTCTTTTCACCATTGCTAATAATCATAAATGTTTCTTGAGCAGCAAATCCTCATATTAGAGTGATTTCTGAAGGATCATGTGACACTGAAGACTGGAGTAATGATGCTGAAAATTCAGCTTTGATCACAGGAATAAATTACATTTTACAATATATTCAACATATAAAACAGCTATTTTAAATTGTATTAATATTTCACAGTATTACTGTTTTTACTGTATTTTTGATCAAATAAATGCAGCCTTGGTGAGCAGAAGAGACTTCTTTCAAAAACATTATAAAAGCTTACAGACCCTATTAATATTCATACTGTCCTAAAGAGAGCGTTATTACTTGGTCTTCTGCAGGTATGTTGTTCCTCCAGAGCAAGGGAAAAGATTGGAGCGTCTTGCTAAAGGTACAGTGGTCTTTTAAAAACATATAATTAGTTCCTCCTCTCCTTCAGCAGCTCATTTACTCAGGACTCTTCTCATTTTCATTCATGCAGGATTTTTCCCAGGAAGCGCCCAAAGTTGTGAAGCCTTCTTGCGACACAAAATGACTTTAATTTCACCGTCAATTCTGAGAAAGTATGGAATACCCTTTGAGAAGGTTAGTTACCTTATTTTTATCATCTTATCATGTCGTGCTTGATTTTAATCTCATGATTTGACTTCTTTCTGCTTAATTCATTAGGTCACACAGGAAGCAGGTCAGTTTATTGTGACCTTCCCATTCGGATATCACGCTGGGTTTAACCATGGCTTCAACTGTGCCGAATCCACCAACTTCGCATCCCAGCGCTGGATAGATTATGGCAAGCTGGCAACATTGGTAAGTTTTTTTTAACCTCAGTTTTTGGATCTTAACCCTCTGGGGACGGATTGGGCGGTACCGCCCAAAATGGCATACTTTTACAAATGTGTAATTATCTTAAAAACTATTAATGATAGAGAGTTGCGGTCTTTTTTACCGTCTTCCTCAGATTCCGCTGAAAACAGTGATACCCGGCTTTGTAAATATACAAACTTCCTTGTTGCGCAATACCACTATGTAAAAGGCCAATGAAATCGATGTTGTTTGGCAGATTCCGCGAACAACAACCAATTGAAAAATTGCCGATGGAGAAATATTTTTCTTACCCAATCAGAGGAAGGTTACCATGACCTTTCTAGCAAATCAGAGGACTCTGTAGCTTTGCAAGGGGTGGTACTATATAGTTAGGGATATGACGCAAACAGCGTTGAACCGAGAGAAGGAGAGAGAGCGAACGGAGGCTTACGGAGCGGATTATCAGAGATTTATATGAGAGAGAGAGAGACAGAACAATTATAATATATATATTTATATACACATACATACAATTATAGCATTATTTATTGTTTTAGCACTTTTATGATGGCAAGCAGTAAACGATTTACGGTGGAACAAGCTCTGGAACAATTACTGGAGAGTGACGAGGAGAAAGCATTGCTTAGAAAATTCTAAGCATTCCTAAGAAAAACGCCTGGGACTATTTGTAAATAAAGTTACATTTTTCATTGTTCTTTACACATTTTATTTAACAATTACACATTTCTGTCAAGCAAAGGCTTTGACAAATATATTTTTTGTTCAAAAACTGTTCACTATTTTTGTGTGATGTGTGATTTTCAGAAATAAATGAGAAAAATCTAATTTCCGTTTTTGAAATTCTCTAGTTTATAGTACATTTTTCACTCATTCTTCCTTTATAAACACATTACATGCATGCTTATGTTATCTTAGGGTCTTCTGAATCCATAGATACCAAACACATAGTGATCCATCTCCATTACATATGGTTTATAAGCCCAAATGTAAAAATAGAGAAAACGGACCAAAAAGGACTTAGTCCCCAGAGGGTTAAAGGCCGTTGCACACTGAGTCCGAAATCTTCGTATGCGTTTTTTCGTATTCGTAATTCGGTGGCTCTGAATTGTCAAAACACCATTCAAACTGCTTGCTACGGATGCGAATAACGCAGAAAATCGAATCCGATCTGATTTTTTTAATGACGGACGAAAGTTTCGGAGGCAGTGTGCAAGCGTGATTGACATAACGTGAGGTCGTATTTATTTTGTAACGTGCAAGAGCTTTAAGAATGGATGTGTCTCTCTTTCTCAGTGTTCCTGCCGGAAGGACATGGTGAAGATATCCATGGATTTGTTTGTTCGCAAGTTTCAACCAGAACGCTATAAACTTTGGAAAGCAGGAAAGGACAATGCGCCCATTGACCACTCGAAGACCACACCAGTGACGTCAGAGCTCCTGACAGACGGAAAGACAGCGAACGAGAAGGGAGAGCTCAGCGATAGCAGCAAAGAGGAGAGCGGAGAAGCGGAGCCTGGAGAGGAGCAGAAAGCTAAAACGGATGGTAAAGAGAAGGGGGACAGCGCAGAAACATTACCTGGGAAGGAGGTGAAAAGAGAGACCGATGGTGGAGAGGAGAAAACAGAAGTAGAGAAAGGAGAGCTGGATGTAGAGGAGAAAAAGCCTGTTAGTGATGAAGAACCTAGCAGCACTTCAGAGCAAATCAACAGGTGTGTAGAAAGAATCCTTACTAACTTTATTAGTATTATAAGTGAACCTCAAGGAACATATTCAAATAATTTTATAAAATCCATGTCATGACCCCTTAAATTAATACTATAATAGTATATAAACACTGATATGAAGTAAACACTGTTGAAGGTTGTGCTAGAAGATATGGTACCTTACTAGAAAACTAGGTCCCACTTTATATTAAGTGGCTCTAACAACAGCCGCGTTTCCACCGCAATTACCAGGAACTATTTGTCCCAGGAACTTTTTTCATAGGAACTTTTTTTGCCCCAGAACGGTTGCTCACTGCGTTTACACCGTGGACTAAAGTACCGGGAAGATTAGTCTGGTGACGTTGAACTGCGTGCGACTGCTCCTCCCAGTCTGCGCGTACTTGTTTTGAGTTTTAAGTATTGAGGAGATTCAAGCTGTGCTGTTTTTGTGTGCGATCTATTGGTTTACTAACGAGGTAATTAACAAACAGCAAAAAAAGAGACGAACACTAATACCAAAGCGTATTCATTTCAGAAAGCTCGTAATGCTAGATAGACAACGTTTGTTATCAGCTATAGCGGACATGACCATGAGATGGATGGAACGAACGCGCGCCATCCGGCAGAGAGAACAAGGTAAAAGAACCAATCAGCATGTTCAGCGCACAAGTCCCACCCCGAAAGTTCCTGAACTCTGAAAAAGGACTACCTCGCCAGCAGGGACTTTCTGGGGGGGAAATTTTTACCCGGAACTTCATTTAGACCCTGGTTCCTGCGGTGTAAACACACGGAGTACCACCCCAAAGTTCCTAGTTCCTGGGGAAAGTTCCTGCGGTGGAAACGCGGCTAACTATGTACTAACGTTGAAATGAATACTTTGATACAATGGACTTATTGTGTAAATTACATTGTACTTATATTTAAAAAATACCAGCATGTAAGTACAGCTGTAATTAATTTATGTATTTACGTTTGTAATTGCACTGTTGACCCTTCCCTTACACCTTAACCCACCCTTAAACCGACCCATGCCATACACACCTGTCACTAACCTCACCCGTGTCACACCTCAGTAGCAGCAAAAGTGTTTTACAATACAACACAATAAGTACTTGTACTTACTTTTCGATGCAAGTACATAGTACTTAAAGCCACTTATTATAAAGTGGGACTGAAAAACTACACAATAATTATAATTTCGACCCACTAAACTGTGTATATTGATCTCTGATCTCCCTTCTCTTCATACAGCATCAGTCCAAAGCAGAACGTGGGGCAGAAGCGGCTCAGACCCAGCACTGGAAATGAAGCGAAAGATGATGACAATCAAGTGAAGGTAGAAGAGGAGGAAGTTGAGAAAAAGAAAGCCAAACTCAGCCAGACTGAGACAGGCGACGAGAAGGAACAATCCATCTCCGCTGACCCAGGTAGAGCCTCATGTACAGCATATGACACCTGGCGATTAGGGGTGTAACGATACACGTATATATAAACTGCACTACTCATTATTTTGTGCTGCACGGACCGTTTATGAGTTTGGACCAATGTCAGTGCAGCGTGGGCCGATCTTGATCAAACGACACTGCTCTAAGAGATCCAGTAAAGAAAGCATTTGATTTCGCCACATAAGTAATAACATCGCTGTGAGATCTAGTGAGAAGCATTCAAGTTTCTCTGTTATTAACGGATCAAACAGCGCTGACGTGGAAACCAGGAGAAACATTGTGCCGTGATGAATGAACTAGTTATAGGCTTTAAGTCCACAAATCAGCAACATTCACCATGTGACCAGCAACAGCAACATAGATTCACCAGCAACAGCAACATAGATTTAATGTAGTAACACTAACTGTAATGGAAGTTTGGCAGGAATAGTCAAATGCTTTCAAGAACATCACACATCTTTTTCCAGCACTTTAAAACTCTAATATTATCATATTTAAATGTGATGACCAAAACATTATTTATTCATCCTTCAAAGATTACCCCCATTTATAAAACTAAAAGTTTCAAGATGTGGAAAAACTCACACTTATTTCATATTTATTTATTTTTATTTTTTAATTAAGGAATTTTCTCTGGCATTTCTTTGTTTTTGCTGTATCGAAAACATCCCGAACCGTGACACCACTGTGTTGTATCGAACCGAACTGTGATTTTTGTGAACCGTTACACCCCTACTGGCGGTTCTATAATAAAAATACTAAACCAATGTGTTTCTCTGCAGGTGATGTTAAAGCTGAGGAGACCATGGAGACAGACACGCCCCCTCCACAGCAGCAAGAGAATCAAGCCCCTCCCTGCATGGAGGCGGAGCTCTCGCCATCAAACCCCACCTCCAGCAGTGACATCACAATGCAGCAAAGAGATGACATCACTCCTTCTGATCCCAGCGATGTCACCTCATCCTCACAATCCACAAACAGCATCGGTGATGATGTGGCTCCACCAAGTGATGCCTCTCAGTCTGGACATGTCACTCAAAGCTGTGATGTCCAAACCATCTCTGATGACATCACTCCAAACACTGATCTGACAACTGTTAGCATCACTGATGCTCAGCCGAGTGACGTCACGCCCCATTCCTGTTCCAGTGACATCTCTGCCGCTGACGTCACACCCCTCGTATCTGTAACCAGCAGCATCTCCTCTCAACACAGCATTAACTCCGCCCCCACCTGTGATGACATCACAGAACCCAGCCACAGCACTATAAACACCATCAGCCCAAGTCTGTGTGAACCCGGCATTAACTCCGCCCCCACCTGTGATGTCCAATCAGAACCCAGCAACAGCATTATAAACACCATCAGCTCTAGTCCATATGAGCCCGGCATTAACTCCCCCCCCACCTGTGATGCCCAATCAGAACCCAGCAACAGCCCTATAAACCCCATCAGCCATGATCCATATGAGCCCGGCATTAACTCCGCCCCCACCTGTGATGCCCAATCAGAACCCAGCAACAGCCCTATAAACCCCATCAGCCCTGATCCATATGAGCCCGGCATTAACTCCGCCCCCACCTGTGATGCCCAATCAGAACCCAGCAACAGCCCTATAAACCCCATCAGCCCTGATCCATATGAGCCCGGCATTAACTCCGCCCCCACCTGTGATGCCCAATCAGAACCCAGCAACAGCATTATAAACACCATCAGCTCTAGTCCATATGAGCCCGGCATTAACTCCGCCCCCATCTGTGATGCCCAATCAGAACCCGGCAACAGCACTATAAACACCATCAGCCCTGATCCATATGAGCCGGGCATTAACTCCGCCCCCATCTGTGATGCCCAATCAGAACCCGGCAACAGCACTATAAACACCATCAGCCCAAGTCTGTGTGAACCCGGCATTAACTCCGCCCCCACCTGTGATGTCCAATTAGAACCCAGCAACAGCATTATAAACACCATCAGCTCTAGTCCATATGAGCCCGGCATTAACTCCGCCCCCACCTGTGATGCCCAATCAGAACCCAGCCACAGCACTATAAGCACCATCAGCCCTGATCCATATGAGCCGGGCATTAACTCCGCCCCCATCTGTGATGCCCAATCAGAACCCGGCAACAGCACTATAAACACCATCAGCCCAAGTCTGTGTGAACCCGGCATTAACTCCGCCCCCACCTGTGATGTCCAATTAGAACCCAGCAACAGCATTATAAACACCATCAGCCCTGATCCATATGAGCCCGGCATTAACTCCGCCCCCATCTGTGATGCCCAATCAGAACCCAGCAACAGCACTATAAACACCATCAGCCCTGATCCATATGAGCCCGGCATTAACTCCGCCCCCACCTGTGATGCCCAATCAGAACCCAGCAACAGCACTATAAACACCATCAGCCCTGATCCATATGAGCCCGGCATTAACTCCGCCCCCACCTGTGATGCCCAATCAGAACCCAGCCACAGCACTATAAGCACCATCAGCCCTGATCCATATGAGCCCGGCATTAACTCCGCCCCCACCTGTGATGCCCAATCAGAACCCAGCAACAGCCCTAAACACAAGCCCAGCATTAACTCCACCGTCACATATCATGTCACCACAGAATCCAGCAGCAGCGCCATCAATCTCACGCTGGCAGAATCAGCGGCAGTGGGCGGTAGTCCGGTGTGTCCGCCCGCAGTCCAGCACATCTTCCAGAGAACGCTGAGCCCTGCCGAGGTGCTGCACGTCCACAGCTACGCTAAAGGAGATTACAGCGAGCCCGAGCCGCGCATTCGGCATGAGAGTTACCGAGACAGCGACTCTGATAGCGATTCCCAAGAGGACTGTAAGGTGCGTATGCTACCGTCTGTCTCTGTTGTTTAAACACCTGATTCATTAAAGGGATTGACTGCTGCGCTGATGACGTCATGTTGTAGACCAACCCAGAAGTTAGCATCACCCTGATTCCCTTAGCAAAAAACCAATAGGGTTTTTCCATTACCTTTTGGATTTTTGCTGGAAATAAGCTCTGTGAACTAGCCTGGGAAAACCCAGACAACTTCCGGCAAATTTAGATTTGCTCTGAAAGTTAGTCTGGCAAAGAGCTCATTCAAGCCCATTTCCAGTCCGTCGAAATCGAGGCACCAATCAGAAACGTTGGGGCGGGCTTTACACGATGACGACAGCGCTGGGATTTTGAAGCAGATTTTGTAGCCTACATTACAAAGATGGATGCCGCCGTCGAACATCACTCGTTCCAATCAGCTATCGCGTCTGTTTTAAGCCATTTAAACGTTTCCTTTTAGTTAAAAACCGAGCAAAGAACAACACTCGGAGATGTGTCTCCGCCGCTCTGCATACGTCATCTCCTTCATCGCTCTGATTGGGTTTAGGTCTATCCGCGACGTCCGTTGGTGACGCCCCTCTGGAAATGATTTGTCTATGATGCTTTGCCAGACCATAACTCAGTTACAACTGAGAATGCTCTGGTTTTAACCAGGCTATCTGTGAACAATAAAGGTGTTTAATTGTTCCTACATGTTCATCATGATAACCTTCACAAATGAACACAACTATTATGAATTTTGAAGCTTAAATACAATCGGCAGAAGTAAAAAGCTAGAGTTAGGCTATAAACGAACTACACCACGGTCACATGACTTCAACATCACCACCATTAATCTCCAGACTCTTTCAGCCAAACTCTTTGTCTTTATTTAAAAATAAAAAGTTTGAGTTAGAATAGTTTGCAAAAGTGCGATTTATAAACTAGCTGTAAAAGTGAATAGATAGTGTCTCCGACAACTGTAGTATCATTTAACCACTTGTTAGCAACCGCCTTTTTCAAGACAAGTAAAAGCTTAAAAAGATCACAACTGGGTATTACTGATGTATTTTATGTCGCAGAATAAAATGTGAAATATTTTGAGGTTGTGTTAAACCTCAAGCCGTATTTCAGCCATTTAACCAAAAACCCATTCAAAAAACCCACTGACATTAAGAAGATTGAAGTTCAGAAATGCTAACTTGTGTCCAGGTTTTAGGACTCATTCCTGCAGCACTATATAATGCAAATCAGTTAGCAGTGCAAACACACCCACAAAATTAGTGCTGAACGTAACTCTCATTCTTGAATGCTTGAGCCTGCTAGCCTGGTTAAAACCAGACCATTCTCAGTTGTAACTGAGTTATGGTCTGGCAAAGCGTCATAGACAAATCATTTCCAGAGGGGCGTCACCAACGGACGTCGCGGATAGACCTAAACCCAATCAGAGCGATGAAGGAGATGACGTATGCAGAGCGGCGGAGACACATCTCCGAGTGTTGTTCTTTGCTCGGTTTTTAACTAAAAGGAAACGTTCAAATGGCTTAAAACAGACGCGATAGCTGATTGGAACGAGTGATGTTCGACGGCGGCATCCATCTTTGTAATGTAGGCTACAAAATCTGCTTCAAAATCCCAGCGCTGTCGTCATCGTGTAAAGCCCGCCCCAACGTTTCTGATTGGTGCCTCGATTTCGGCGGATTGGAAATGGGCTTGAATGAGCTCTTTGCCAGACTAACTTTCAGAGCAAATCTAAATTTGCCGGAAGTTGTCTGGGTTTTCCCAGGCTAGTTTTTACCTCCTCATGCTAGCAAACGATCCTGGTGCTGCACAGCATCTCTCCGCTAGCACAGTCCCAGCTATTTAAAATGATGAAACTGCACTCTACTTCTTCACATGTCTGGATATGAGCCCGCTTACAGCGCTCTTCCTCATCTGATGAATTACTGCTGTCATCAATTAAAACATATCTCTTAATAAAAGTCTGAGTACCACCTGCTTTCATGATTAATAGTAGCGTGACGTTAATTGCTCCAGGCTATATAACAAAATAATACGTCTAATTTACATGGAAAGGAAAGTTTATGCTGAAAAGAGTAATAATTTAATTGAAATGCTCAAATGCATTTAAGTGCATTAAGCTGTCGAGATGATGCAGGTTTATGTGCTCAGTGTATTTATTGTATAAAAAAACTGTTTTGAATTAATATTTGTACATTTTTATTTTATACAGTTTAGTTTTTTCCCCACATTTGACTGGTATTTCTGTCAACGAATCACAACCCCCCTGCAGTTCCATCATAATCCACTAGGGGGTTTGTGCGCTCTGCTATGTATAATGAGTGTGAGTGTGTGTCGTCCTGCAGAAAGAAGATGAACGTCCAGTGGAAGCTCAGCACAGACTTCCCAGACTCCCCAGGCATCATCCTCTGATGAAGGACAGCATCAGTGATGAAGGTCAGTGTGCATGTGACAGTGTTGTCATTGTTAACTAGAAGAAAATTGTGCATAATTACATGCAACTAACCCTAATCCTACCCTAACCCTATAGTAAGTATGTAGTTTATTAATATTACTCAGTACTTAAATGTATACTTGCACCTTAAAATAAAGTGTAACCAAAGTTGCTAAAAGTACGCTGCATAAAAGCATCCTGTGAATGAAGAATGCTGTGAATGTGCAGAGCTGCAGGATCAGGCTGCATCAGAGGAGGACGGGCTCGACGGGGAGGCCTGGGCGCGACCTTTGACCCAGCTGTGGCAGAACAGACCGTATAATCCAGAAAGAGAGAGAGAGTACAACAGAGAGATGGGTCTGCTGCCTCCATACTGCGCTGTGTGCATGATCTTTCAGGCTCATCAACGGGTACGGTGGCCTGTTTCAGACATCTGCCTTTATTTCTTTTAGTTCATACTGTTTATTTTTGTTATGATATGGATTTTTAATATACCGCAGTACCAGTGTATGTCGCTTTAACAACGTTGGGAACGCTTGAGAGGGGTCGCTTTTCACTGTTGCACTGTGGTGAGGGCTCAGCTTAGCGTGATGGTGAAGATGGATAGGTTAAACTATAATTGACAGCTGTCACATTATATTACAGTGTTTCTCATATTGGTTCACAATATCAACACTGCCAACCACAAATTGATTTTCCAAAAGGCTTTGACATCGTTGAATAAACATGAGCACTGGATGTCTCAAAGTCAAAACTTTTGATGTTTAATGAAAAGTTTTGACGTTATTTCTATTGAATCTTTCTTTATCTTTCCTGATAAAGCAGCGTTTATGAGCTGCTTTGTGTACAGATGTTATAGACGTTATGTGTATAAATTTTTTTCTACAATATTCCCTCATGACAGTAAAATAGGGCATTCTAAGTCAATCTACTGCAGTATTTCCTCTCTCAATCAGTAGAAAATGTGGTTAACACTAGGGCTGGGTAAAAAATATCGATTTCTCGATATTAATCTATTCTCATTTTTACGAACCTATATCGATTCTTAAATCTCAAGAATCGATTAGTCATCCTGTTTTCATTTGATGAATGAATGGAACATTGTAGCGCGCATCCCATCCAATAAATCGCAATAATCTTTGTGCTTTGTTACTATTGATACTAAATAAAGTCTCTAATTTCAAATTATGTCCATTTTCTTACGAAATTCAAAAACATAAATACCGTTTTGGCGCTGTGGCGTGAGATCGCTCTGGCTCAGCTCTAGAGAAGCAGCAGCGCGGAGCGCACATGATCTCCTCTTCTGCCTTAACCCTCTGATTATCTTCATTTAGGGTCTACACTTGTTATCTTTGGGGTCTCCAGGGACCCCAGACAATAACATTGCATTTTGTAACAGTATAATAAAATTTTTTTTACAAATGTAATTTTACTCTGTTTATTAATGTTTTTACTCAACATTTGTGCAGTTTTGGGAGGATTTTTGATATTTTTTAAATTTCTAAAAATAAATAAATAAATATTTAAATAAATAGTTTTTTTTACAAAAAACAGCATTTTATGTAAAATTCACTTTATAAAGGACCCAGATTTCTAACTTTCATTTATGGGGATAACATGGATAATTGTACATGATTTAATGTAAGATTTTTGCCCTTTTTTTGGAAAATGAAGTTTTAAAATAAAAAAATTCACTTTAACCACTATATTGCTATAGAGCTCCATTATATGCTATTTGCTGTTTGATTAACCAAAATACATCTTTTCACAAGTTGGATTCAGTTGGATTGAGTTGGATTCATATATAAATATTTTAAAATCAAAATTATAAAGAAGAATTATATACTTTTGGTCAAAGTTTAGCATATTTTGTATTAAGTTTAGCATATTTTGTATTGAAAAAAGTTCTTCAATAATGTTACTTTATGATTAGAATCAAACCTGAACAAGATGTTACAAAAAATCTTGGAGTCTTTAGATTTTATCATTTATTTCAATTATCTGTTTTTAATATAATTCTATCATTTTTAATCAACGTTTCAGTTACAAACTGTAACAGAACAAAAAATAACAGAAATGAACAGTTATATTACATATTGAGAAAAAAAAACAAAAGTGCAATGAACTGAACAGCAATAACAAATGATCAAATAAAGCAGTAAAAAAATAAAATGGTTGTAATATAAAAATTATTTTGTTAAAAAAACTGATTGGGAAATTTTTGTTTTTTGAACAAATAAGAACAACAATTGGTGGTGCACTGGAGGTGTTCACGAGTCAGTGCACTGCAGGCAGTATGCGTAGTACGTTGCATGACTTCTGCAGACACACATTCTGTGTGTGTGTGTGTGTGTATTTTCGTTGTGTCAGTGTCACCAATTTATATTTGTGGTGGTTCTGCATTTTATTTGACAAATTATAAGACTTTTTTTATAGCCTTACAAATGTATTTCTGTGTATGTGTATGTGTGTGTGTGTGTGTGTGTGTGTGTGTGTGTGTGGCGAGCATGATAATTTTGCATTGTGGATGTTTTTTACATTGTTGGAAGTGTGCCATTTCATTTCTGTCCATGTGATCTGCGTTGTTTCTGATTTTGATGATGAATATTATATATTTACTATGCGGGGTCTCCAGGGACCCCGAAGACAACAAGTGTGACTATTTTTTTCACGGCAACATAATAACAGATATCATTCCAATTTTTCTTTTCTTTTGTAGATCTATGAAGTGTTAAGAGCTGTAGAAAGTTTCATACCATTTGGACAAAGAGAACATTTTTTTTAATTTGACCAAAAGTCATTTGCGGGTTAAAAAGACCCCAAAGATAACCAGAGGGTTAATAATACCAGTTACAGCGCGAAATAAACATGAATGAACGTCTGAAAGTGTGTTAAAAGATAGAGTACAACTTATCGAAATCCGTATCATGTCACATGGAATCGCTCAATCAGTGTTTCAACCGTGGAAAGACGTCAGTAAAACAACTTGTAAACAAAACGTCACATTTACCTCAGAAAAAACATATGTGACCATAAACTCGTTAGTCAGCTAGAAAAATTAACTCTAAAGAGGAGCATTTTGCTAAATATATGCACCATATTACATATTCATTATAATTTTTAATGTTCTTCGATATTTAATGCATGTTTGAATAAATCTGGCAAGTTTTTATGACCGCCACCATTTAAATGTTTATATTTCATATAACTTTATTGTTATAAAAATAAACAAAAGTGTAAGTTAAGTGTTTGTATAGCTACAAATCAGTTAATTTTTACCTTCAATATTATAGTAGGCTAATGAAGCCTAGTAGGCTACAACTGACTCCCATAGTTTACAGCATTGGTTAAGAGATTTGTTTTCCTTGAGAAAATTTGCCATGTATTGTACCTGATATCCAAAATAATCAATATTGAATCGAATCGAATCGAATTGCAAGCTTGTGAATTAAATTGTGAAATTTGTGTCAATACCCAGCCCTAGTTAACACACAGTCATGCTTGAAAAAAAAAAAAATACCGTCATATACCGTGAAACTGGTATAATTTAGAAAAATACCGTGATATGGATTTTTGGTCATACCGCCCAGCACTAATTTCTTTCCTGTCACTGGAGTATAAGGAAGGTCTGACACTCGCTGTGTGTGTGTTCAGTCTGAAGGGGGCGAGAGCGAGCCGGCTGTGGTGCTGCCCAGGGGTCAGATAAGGAGCAAGCCTCTGATTCCAGAGAGATGTTTCACCACCACCACAGAGGACAGCGCAGAGGACCAGACGCCCACACCTCGCCTGGAGGAGGACGGGACCAGCCTGCTCATCAGCTGCTCCCTGTGCAGAGTCCGTGTGCACACCAGTGAGTACTGACCTCTCACAATACTGGATGAGAGAAGGTCCCTTTTCATACATTGCCATTCAAAAGTTTGGAGTCAGTAAGTGTTTTTTAATATATATACTTTTATTCAGAAAGGAGGCATTAAATTTATCAAAAGTGACACTAAAGACATTTTTTAATGTTACAAAAGATTCTATTCAAATAAATGCTGTTCTTTTGAACTTTCTATTTATTAAAGAATCCTTAAAAAAATCATTGTTTTCAACATTGATAATAATCAGAAATGAGTCTTGAGCAGCAAATCATCATATTAGAGTGATTTCTGAAGGATCATGTGACACTGAAGACTGGAGTAATGATGCTCAAAATTCAGCTTTGATCACAGGAATAAATTACATTTTAACGTATATTCAAATAGAAAACACTTATTTTAAATTGTAATAATATTTTTTCTATATTACTGATTTACTGTATTTTTGATAAAATAAATGAAGCCTTGGTGAGCAGAAGAAACTTTCAAAAACATTACAGGGGTCATATAATGGTACATGCACTTTTTCAAGTTGATGAAATGTGTGTTGGCAGTGCCTGTACACAACCATCATATAATGATAAAAATCCATCCAGTGTTTTTGTTTTAATCTCCTTATATGTTTTCCCCTGCCTCAAATCGAGCCGTTCGACCGTGTGACGTCACAAGCTCGGAAGCCCCTCCCACGATTGTTGATTGACAGCAGCGTTTCAACACAGACCCGCCCTCGCTCGTGAGCCAGCTGTCAATCATAGTCTGCGCGGACCGGCGCGGTCATTGTTGATATGCTGGAGCACTGTCTATGAGCAGAATGGCGTCTAAGCGATTGTGGTGTTCTGTTCTTGGGTGTAATAACGAACACAGTCATTTTAATGTTCCTAAATCCGAACCGCTGAAGACGCAGTGGCTGAGTTTGTTTTCGAAGGGAATATTCCCCACGAGCAACGTCAATGCTCTCATGTTTGCGCGAATCATTTCTCAGCAGACTGCTTTATAAACGAGGGTCAGTATAAAGCTGGTTTTGCTAAGAAGCTGCTCCTGAATAAAGGATCGGTACCAGATATTCGTGTTCCTGCTGAAGTGTAACGTTTTATTAAACTTTATATTAATATTTATATCTTTGCAAATCGCTTCACGATGAATGAGTCCAAGGTTTACACTCTGGGTACATTACTGCATGTTTTCTATGTACGACGTTCTCCATATAATTCATAATCCCACGTTTATAATGAACAACGCGTTATGGTTATTGTGTTACAAACGTGTACGCACAGAACAGAGAGGCGGAGTCAGCAAAGCTCATTATCATTTAAAGTCATATACACTGAAACGGCGTGCTGAAAACAGAGCTGTTTTTACCAGGTAAAATAAGTGTTTTCTTACAATACTAATGAGAGTTTTAAATAAAGTATATTACAAACTTTTAATTTAGACCCTAAAGAATCATACTAGCTTGTACAAAAATGGCATTATATGACCCCTTTAACAAATCTTACCGACTCCAAACTTTTGAACGAAAGTGTAGTTTGTCTGTTTATAAAATGGATTTTAATGTAATTTCTTTCAGTTATGATGCCTCAAATTTAGAATTAGAATATAAACTATTAGGGAACAAATGTCCAGTGTCGTAGATTTTTCCCTAAACCCAGGGGCGTAGAATTTAGTAGGGACGCTAGGGATGTGTCCCTACCAATATCCAGTGAAGTCTACCTGGGTTGTCTAAAATCGACATTCCCTGGGTTGTCTATTTCCCTAAACTAACTCACCTGCTGCACAGCAGTAATGACAGACAGACTTCTGCAAATGTCCTCTAAATGCTTTAATCACGGCCGGGAGAGTCCTCAACATTTCCAACTGCCCCCAAGAAGCAGCAAGGCCAGAGGATCTCAGACAAATTCCATTGAGAATCCCACCAGTAAACACGAATACAACAGTTTTTATAGAAAATTTCCCTACAATTTGATTGGTTCTTCATATGCAAACTCTTCTATTACTAGGAAAGAGTAAACACTGTTTTCTTAATTACTTCATAATCACAAGTTTTCAAACCTAGACATCTGTCTAGTTTCATTTCCCATATTTGTTACATTACACTCATTACACTCAACAGGAGTATGGCAACATAGGCCTACAACAATCAAAAACACTGAAACACCATGTACTAAAACGTTCTGTTCTAAGTGTTAGCATGTTAAATAAGGTTAGATATTAGAAACATGGTCAGTTTAATATACAGTTTAAAGATCTATCACACCAGCATGCATGTGAACTTCTTCAATACTGTTTGAAAAGCATCCCAGGATGCACCATGGTGGTCTCATCATAGATTTTTCAAGCACACCCTTTTCTGACAATAGGCTTGTTCGACTTGAACCGGCGCTGCACAGACCGATCGGTGAATGACATCAAAGTCAAAGCTCCGTATGCTTTTCAATCGCTCTCACGGTACTTTGATGTCATAAACCGATCGAACAGTATGTTCAAATCTGTTTAATTTGTGCTGTTTGTTCCAGGTTGTTACGGTGTGGCTCCTTTGAGAATTTCCAAAGACTGGAAATGTGCTCGCTGTAAAGCCAACGCCTTCGCTGAGGTACACATAAACATCTTTACATATAGTGGCCCAAAAAGTTTTGTACACCCAGAAATGTAAAAAAAAGCCGTATAACTTTCTTTGACGTTTTCTCCTGTAAGATTGAGGCTGTCAAGCTCCAAAAACAACAAAAATACAACATACATGACCGCCAGTTTGAAATACGAGCTATGTATACTAGGTGTATACAAACCTAGTAGTCTTTTTGTGAAGTGTTTTACTTGAACAGTGTATTTTACTTTAAAACGAATGGCACTTGCTTTGATGTTTCTTATCAAATGCAGTGACATTCGTACATTTAAATGTGACATTAAGTGTCTTAATACTTTTTGGGCCAATGTACACTTGCATTAAACACATAATGATCTTTCATGTCTCTGTTTAATGACAAGTATGATGTCAATGATGTTTGAATCTGTGATTCTGGACAGAGTTGCTGTCTGTGTTCGTTGAGAGGAGGAGCGTTACACAGAGCCAATAATGGCAAGTAAGTAAAACGAAACTCCACTAGAGGACAGGACTTGCATAGGTAATGCCTCCTAACCTAGAAGTTACATTAGCTCTTGAATTCCTAGAGCTGTGTTTTTGTGTGCTTTAGTTTAGACCAACAAGAACCTTTTGTTTCCATGCAACCTCTCTTATTACAAAACTCTGGTTTGAGATTACAGGAATCAGTTAGTGTCTTACCAGGTGAGTTTCACAAAACCTCTCAAGAACTGCTCAAAAGAAAGAAATAAGAAATGATATTTGCCTAAGTAAAATTATTTATACCTCAGTATATACAGAAGTATTTGTTATACCATGTGTAATTTAACTTATACCATGGTCTGGGTGAATACTCGATTCTGATTGGTGCAGGGTGTCCATTAAAAAGTGATAGAGGACACCTAGTAAAGGAGTTCTGGTGAAACTGACTGTTTACCGTTCGAAATTAATAAATAAATGCGCTGGCTACATCAGCTGTGAGTAACCATAGCAACAGGCAGTCAACGTATCCGTTTACAATTTATTGTATCAAAACAAACATCTAGTTAGCCGGTATACTACGCCTACCTGTGTGTTTTAATTATAGGTTATAAAAAACGAAAGTGAAACACCCATGGCTACACAAGCCTAACTTACATGAAATAAAATATGTTTACTTTCTGGCTCGTAAGTGAGCTAAACTGAAGGGTTCTCTGAGCTGAGCGGACTATAAATATCTCCGGTTGCTAAATAAACCGGCAGGCGTAACCAGGGAAACCAAGTTATTGTTTGTAAAAACTTTAGATTTCGATTGTAAAGCTAATTAAAATCTAAACTAATGTTTTAAAAATGTGTTATTTGGCAAGTGACCATGGTATAATAAGGTGTCCGCTGCGCGTCGGACGGTTCACGCCTCGCCGTCGTCCATTAATACCTAGACAATGGACACCTCATCGGGCATTAACCCTTACTTAATCATTATAATACATGATGTTTATTACTGTACTACAAATACTCTGCTATATCATACAGAAGACTATCAGTAAAATTTATAAAAAATGTGGGACCAAAAATTATTCAGACACTTTGACCTGACTTTTGCTTAAGTGTTTTTTCTTTAATTGCTAATGTGACCTTTTTACACCACAGACTGAACAACATTAAGCATTGTTTGGTAATTGCTTGACCTAAATTGGTATTATCTAATTGTGTAGTTAAATTTAACAGCTGACAGATATTCAACCTATCTCATCTTTGAGACAGTCTAACAGAAGTTGTATAAATTGATTTGATAACTCTGAGTTTGTCATATTTTATTTCCATTTTCTAAACTATAGCGAATAAACTGTGATAATGTGAGAAATGTTGAAGGTGTCTGAATAAATGTTGGCTTGCCTATATATATATATATATATATATATATATAAAAATTTTTACAGTAATCAGTGAGATTAAAAATTATAGAACCATCACTGAAAATAATGGTAATTACAAAAAACTCAAGTAAAACTTCCAGACAAACTATAATAATGTTCCACTGTAAGTGGTCCAAAAAAGAAATTATTTTCCTAAATGCAAAATATAATTGCTTATTTTTATGTTTTGATTCTGAGGTGAAATGTGACTTGGACATGTTCTTAAGAGGGTTTTTTGAGATTCATCCTGCTGTTCTCTTCAGCATCTGTTAATGTTGTATAAATGATCAGCGCTGGTTCCTGACGTGTGTCTCATGCACAGATGGGTTCATGTCCTGTGTGCGGTGGCAGTGCTAGAGGCTCGCTTTGTGAACATCGCTGAACGATCACCCGTGGACCTCAGCGGCATTCCCTTACAGAGATTCAAACTGGTGAGATTCTGTGCGGTAACAGCAACATTTCACTTCTCAGTGATGTGGTTTTACACCAAACCTCCATCAGTCAACAACTTGAGCTGTCTTAAATCACGTCCCACATCCTTCACGCTAGAAAACGACACATTTTGACACCGTTTGTAACTTCAAGATGTTGGCTTTTACTGAAATGTCTTTGACACGGTGTTATTTATATCTGCACTTGGGGTGTTTTCGTCCCGACTCACTTCCTCTGAACTGACTTCCTGTGAGCTCTTCTTTTGTGTCTGCTTTTAGAAGTGCTACTACTGCAAACGGCGGATGAAGAAAACGTCGGGCTGTTGTGTGCAGTGTTCTCACGGTCGCTGCCCCACCTCCTACCACCCGACCTGCGCACAGGCCGCAGGCGTCATCATGCACCCGGACAACTGGCCCTTCGTCGTCTACGTCACCTGTTGCCGCCACAAAGGCCCGGTACAATCAGAGGTATTGAGCTCTGAAACTCTAAAGTTCTGCAATTCCACAAGACTGCTCTATAAAGAGATGTGGCTGCTTCAAGTGGACCAATAGTCACTTCCTGTTTCCTTTTTTAGACATTTTTAAGCAGGACATAAGTGTTTAAATTAGGGCTGTCAGTTAAACGTGTTATTAACGGCGTTAACGCAAACCCATTTTAATGGCGTTCATTTTTTTTATCGCGCGATCAACTGCCTTTTTGGCCTAGCAAACTTTTTGTCACATGCTTTTGCAACAGGACGCGGCGCTGCTCTATAAAACCCATTCATTTCAATGGCTTGCGCCGCGCGAGGACGCTACATTGCTTCGTCGACCAAAGCGCAAACGGATCTAGCTAGACCGGAAACATAACAACAGGCACGCCGCACACACTTGTTTGGGCTTGCGAGCCGGCCAAATAGTAGGTTAACGTTACGTTTTGAGTGGATGACGAGCGCGAGACGCCGAAATGGATGCCAATAAGATTCTGAATGGAAAGTTTACTTTTAAAAAGTTGCCAAATGGTTCCATTGACAAGACCAAAGTGATCTGTGTGTTTTGTCGTTGTGAACTGAGCTATCATCATCGCAGCACGCCCAGTCTGAAATACCACTTGATGATTGCCAAGCACACACACACACACACACACACACACACACAGCTGATGTGAATTCTCCGCCCCCTCGTCAATATCAGGACCTCGTCAGTATTTCTTTCACCCGTTTATTGATGGACAGTGTTACATTGTGTGAGAGATTATTTGCTCCAAGTGAAAATGTTTTAGTGTGAAATTGAACACAGTATATGTCCATGTTGTTTTCAATAAAAAACTTTTGCACAAAGCAAGCCGATCCACTTTTCCATGTTGATAAGAGCATTAAAATGAGAAAAAATAATGGGACAAAAAGAAATCAAGAGACATTTAGAATAGATAAAAATGTGCGATTAATCGCGAGTTAACTATGACATTAATGCGATTAATCACGATTAAATATTTGAAGCGTTTGACAGCACTAGTTTAAATACTTTATAGAATACTTTAAAGGTGAACTGAAACAAACTAAATATAATTCGATAACATGTTGGTTATTAAAATTGTAAACAAATTAATTCAAAAATAATGTTAAAAACAAAACATATATGAAGTTTTTCTCAATACTGAAATGAACATTTGTTGTTATTAGAGCGCAGCCGTGTTCGATGACGTCACTGGCATGGTACCACTGTAGGCTACTAACGTTAGTTACCGTTGTGTCAGGCTACTCTGACTGATTTGAGTAGTAAAACTGAAATAATAAAGCTGCATATTCTTCACTGTATTATGAAACGAGACTGCTGCTTATATAGACTGCTGTCACTTTAAGAACTACAGGAATGCACGGATCTAGAATATACTGATACACATTGAACCTTGTGTTTTTTGACACTTTAACTGCAATATGACGATAAAGATAATTTAGTTTAGTGCACGCGCTGACAGCTGACTGTCTGTGCATTGTGTTTAGGCGTGTGCATTTCTTTCTCTAAACCTTAATTAAAAAGTAATGTTTTTATGACAGGGATCGTTTTCATTATGTGCACCCAAACTCCACCCACTATTGCCTGGATAATTTGCCCTTGATATTAATAGTATATTTCTTTTATTCTGAAAAGCATCGACCCTCCTATCCACTAAGTGACCGTCATTTTATGTCGATGTCAGGATCAGTCATTTAAAACAAATTACAGAGAAATTTTAATGATGGACCCTAGGACAATTACAACAGAAAAAAACTGAATTTGAAAAAAAAATGACATGGAATTTGGGAAGAAATACATGGTATTTCATAGGGCCTGACCTCTGATGTCTGTGTCTCCTCTGCAGCGTAATAAAGCAGCCATGCGAGACCTCAGTGTGGGTCAGAAGGTCATCTGCAAACACAAAAACGGACGCTACTACCAGTGTGAAGTCATACAGCTGACAAAAGAGACCTTTTATGAGGTCAACTTTGATGATGGCTCCTTCAGTGATAACCTTTTCCCAGAGGACATTGTGGTAAGAGACAAGACGTGCATTTAACTAATGTTTTAACTAGATTTTAGAAGTCATGGAAAACCAGGAAGTATCAGGGAATATTTTAGTTTTGCAGGCCTGAAAAAGTCACATTAACGACTTAGAAGTTATGGAATTAATAAAGTAATCTCGAAAGTTATTGAAAAGTCTGAAGTTACATACACTAGCGATCAAGTTTGGTGTCAGTAAGAGTGTCTCTTCTGCTCACCAAGGCTGCATTTATTTGATCAAACATACAGTGAAAACTGTCAGATTGTCAAATATTTTTAAAGTTTTAAATAACCATTTTCTATCATTATATATTTTAAAGTGTAATTTATTTCTGTGATCAAAGCTGAATTTCCAGCATCATTACTCCAGTCTTCAGTGTCACATGATCCTTAATAATCACTCTAATATCATGATTTGCTGCTTATTGTTGAAAACAGCTTTTTAGTATTGTGTAAAAACTATTTTAAAGTCTTTGATTAATAGAAAGTTCAAAAGAACAGCTTTTTATTTGAACATTATGTAACATTATGAATGTTTTACTGTAACTTTTGGTCCATTTAATGCGTCCTTTCTGAATAAAAAATATTATTTAAATTTTTTTTAAAGTACTGACTCCAAACCTTTAAACCGTTGTGTATGCGTTGTCTAATTATGACTACAATATTACATATTCTTGTATTTTAATGTTTTTGTGTAGAACCGAGACTGCGCTCAGCTGGGTCCGCCTCCACAGGGTGAAGTGGTTCAGGTCCGATGGACGGATGGTCTTGTGTATGGAGCTAAATTCGTGGCAGCTCATGTCATTCAGATGTACCAGGTAAATGTCAGAGAAGAGTTGAAGCAAAGGTTCCTGTGTCTGCGCTTAGTAAATCACTGCTTCTCTTCAGGTGGAGTTTGAGGACGGATCGCAGCTCACTACTAAGAGAGATGACGTCTACACCCTAGATGAAGAGCTGCCCAAGAGGGTCAAATCTCGTCTGGTGAGCCCTATATGTTAAGGATTATTGCAAGTAAAAATACAAAAATACAAAAAAATTGTGACGTGAGAATAGTACTTAATAGTATAATTGAGCTTGTATAATTCAAAATCAGCAATAATTCAAAATCTTCAGCATATATTGTTCAACAGTCAGGTTCCAGAAGTAAAAACTATCAATTGTTAAAGGTGCTATATGTAACTTTTCTTCTAAAATGAAGCCTTTTCTTATTGCCTGTGTGTGAAGGGGTTTTAATCACACATTACAATGATCCACTTGTCTGGTTTTGCTATTACCTCTGAAGGCCAGTATACCTATTTCTATGTGAAGTGTCCGGGTCGGATTTTCTGCGGAAGCCATCGGATGTGACGTGCACGCGCGCTCCCGAGCCTCTCTCCTTTATATATACACACATTGCATTATGGGTATTCTCTAGCCATTGAGCGTACATTGGTTATAAACAGTGATGGGAATAACGGCGTTATAAATAACGCCGTTACTAACGGCATTACTTTTTCCAGTAACGAGTAATCTAATTGATTACTCTTCTCATCTTAATAACGCCGTTACCGTTACTGCCAAAAAATGCGGCGCGTTACTATAACTGATGAAGCTGTTTTTTTTTTTCATCAGACCAACTAGATCTCTGAGCGAGAGGCAAATACTTTTTTTACTGTTCTTCCTTGGTTAGTGGGCAGAGCACGAGTCAAGCGCATAAATGCTGACGATTGACTGAGGTAGAGTAAAATGTCATTGTAAGCCAATCAGAGGTAGAGTTGGGCGGGTGTTCGAAAGCACGCATAGTTGTGATGGGCATTCGGCTCTTTTGACTCAGCTCACTGAAAAGAGCCGGCTCTTTTGGCTCACAAACGGCTCTTTAAATGACTTTGACTATAATATTTCAATTTTTATTACATAATTATTTAATTTCTATAGGCTAAATTTGTAAAAATAGAGTCGGCTCTTCAGATATGCGAGATATGGCTCATAGAGTCGGCTCATTCGCGAATCGCGAACGACCCATCGATCCATCATCACTAACGGCTAACGCTCATGAATTGCGAACGACCCATCATCATAACGCATAGTCGGACAGGACAGGACACACAAGGAACAACACAAGCCAGTCAGTCTTTTTGGTATATTGCTTAACAAGCTTAATTAAATTTTGCCCAGTTGTGGCCTGTTGAGGGGCAATAAATATCAAAAGTTCCAAAACATCTATTGTGTTATTTGCATTGATCCACTATATAAACATAATATCTACATACATGGCATTTGATTGGAGGCTAGTCTCACTTTGTCCCACAGCAACATAATTTTTTTTTAGATGTGTGTAACAATGTTTCTGTTAATAATGTATTGTATTAAGTGTCCATTTCATTATACTATTCAGATTTATCATAAATAATTGAACATGCACATGTATTTTAAGTTCCGTTAAAGAGGGGTAGAGGTGGGGTCACATTTGAGCATTTAAAATTTAATTTTACTTGAAAGTAACGCAAAAGTTACTTTCTTAAGTAACTAGTTACTTTTAAAATTTGTAACTGAGTAACTAATTTAGTTACTTTTTGGAAGAAGTAACTAGTAACTGTAACTAATTACTTTTTAAAAGTAATTTGCCCAACACTGGTTATAAACTCGTTATTTTGGTGCATTGTGGGATTGAATGAGTGCTCTCGATAAGATCCACTAGGGTTTCGGACACCACTACAAATGGCCGTTCCCTCAAATAGTGCCCTATTAAAGGGTATAGGGGGGCGATTTCGGACACAGCCGCAGTATTTTTTTTATTCGATTTTCAAAGTTTGTAATGTTGTAACTGATTGGTTCATGGCTTTTAACTCTTTAATAAAGACGTTTTTAAAATCACTATGGAAAAAACCCCTGAAAAAGTGCTTGATTTTCATGTGTGTGTGATTCAGTCCAAGGCATCGGACATGCGCTTTGACGAGATGTTTGGAGAGAAGAAGGTTCAGGAGAGCAAGAGACAGCGAGTGATCAACTCCAGGTACAGAGGGGACTATATCGAACCCGTCATCTACCGAGCCATCATGGAGTAGCCAGCGATGACACAGCCTGAAACCACCAGCGGACTCGAGCACACACCCTGCCAATGCCAGTGGCGTTCAGTCTGCAGGCGTCCCACACCTGGATGGCTTTCATCTACCCTGATCTCATCTGAGTCGAGGCAGGGCGTTTCACAGTGTCTTTCTCAGAGAATGCAGCATCGATGCCCTTTTAACCTCAGCTCTGTGAAACCGTGCCACAAACACATCATCATTCTGTTCATGAAGTCGCTCTCAATCACATTCGTTTAATACAGAACATTTGTAATCTCCATTTCATAAAAATATCGAATTTGATCAAATCGCATTAATTTATTTGACTTAATTCAGGGTGCTGTTTCTACCCGTATTTTAGCGGCCGGAGGTGCCATCGCATTTTACGGACGCGGATCTCCTTTTTTTTAAAGATCTACACTGTCATAAATTGTGCAGTTGAGATCCTGAATATTGTACATTATTTGGAACATAATGAATTCAGCGTGTCTTTGACAGTCATTTTGTACAAGCCTATTTATTACCTGGTGCTTTACGAAAGTAACTTTTGCAATATACGTGCGAGTTCCAGTTCAGTGCCGATGAGTGTGTCTTTTGTAGGAAGGAGGAACTGTAGATGCGAAGCTCGTAGCGAAATGCCAAGGATCTCTCTTTCGCAGCTGTTCAGAGCCCTGCCTTGCATTCTGGTTCAATACACTTTCATTTATTGTAGCTTACTGCTGTCAACCTTTGATCAAAAGCCCCATGGATTTAATAAGCTATTTTTGCACTTCTCAGCTGTACTTTTATGAATTGTCATCTTTGTCCTTGCCGTAGCCAAGCTCTAGAGACAGAAATGCTCTTCAGAAAAGCTGAGGAGGCCCATGTTTGACCCGTACGGTCTGCCGACAGCATTCGGAGAAAGTAAGCTTGTTGCAGTTCTTCAGTTGTTCCATAGATAGGGCTAATCTTCACTATTAAGAAATTATCAAAAAATATTTTTTTCTATCAAGAAGCCTATTTTATTGCTGTTTTATGATACATGTTTAATGGTCATATACTGTGAGATAGAGTTGTATGTAGTTAATTTAAAAAATCTCCAGCTTTCGGCACGTTTCTTCTGCCTCTTGTTTTGCTTTCGAACACGAGCCTCGTTCTTACTGCACTTCTGAATGCAGAGGCTCTAGGACTTCCATATATGTATTTTGTATAAAAAAAAATCATTAATGTGCATCAGTAAAAGATGTTATGCTGAAGTGTCTTTTTTTGTTTTATTTGCATTGCAAAACCAACTTTTTAACACAGTATTTTCAGTTACAGGCAGACTGTATGTTGCTTAAACCATACCTGCAAATCCTTTAATTTCTCCATTCTAACAATGAAATAGCATGAATAAAAAAAAAAAAAGTCAACTTTTTTTATTTAACCTTTTAAATCATAGTTTACGGTTATTTTATGTTACCATAGACGTTGGTGTCGTTTCTTTATAATGTTGCTGCAATGTAGTTCAATTTTAATTTTCTGGGGACATTTTGAACTGCTGATTCCAATAAATTATTTGAAGAAAAATTCCCCATCCATCACCTTTTTCACCAGTCAATAATCAATAATATGGCCCGAAGAAGTACAAAATATATATGTTTATGTCAGACTCTGATAAGCATAATTTGATTTGTTTGAAAAGTTTGTTGGAGTTTTAGCCAGTTTTTTTATTAAAACTGATATTCAAAACAGGTGAAAATATTTTGCATACAAATCTAAATAAACACTTCATGTATTTATAAGTATAAAGTATTATAAGTAATAATCCCATTAAATTAAATTAAATTAATATCTATCTATCTATCTATCATAAAAATGCAGTGACAACATTTCAATCAATAAGAGATGACAGTGTGGTGTCTGATAATAATAGTAATAAAAATAACAATAATAAAACATTTGATTAAAGGGATAATGTATCAGCTTTGAAAAAAATCCTGTTAAGTGTGTTAATTAAATAAACACACACACTCACACACATATATATACACTCACCGGCCACTTTATTAGGTACACCTGTCCAACTGCTCGTTAACACTTAATTTCTAAGCAGCCAATCACATGGTGGCAACTCAGTGCATTTAGGCATGTAGACATGGTCAAGACAATCTCCTGCAGTTCAAACCGAGCATCAGTATGGGGAAGAAAGGTGATTTGAGTGACTTTGAACGTGGCATGATTGTTGGTGCCAGAAGGGCTGGTCTGAGTATTTCAGAAACTGCTAATCTACTGGGATTTTCACGCACAACCATCTCTAGGGTTTACAGAGAATGGTCCGAAAAAGAAAAAACATCCAGTGAGCGGCAGTTCTGTGGGCGGAAATGCCTTGTTGATGCCAGAGGTCAGAGGAGAATGGCCAGACTGGTTCGATCTGATAGAAGGGCAACAGTGACTGAAATAACCACTCGTTACAACCGAGGTATGCAGCAAAGCATTTGTGAAGCCACAACACGCACAACCTTGAGGCGGATGGGCTACAACAGCAGAAGACTCCACCGGGTACCACTCATCTCCACTACAAATAGGAAAAAGAGGCTAGAATTTGCAAGAGCTCACCAAAATTGAACAGTTGAAGACTGGAAAAATGTTGCCTGGTCTGATGAGTCTCGATTTCTGTTGAGACGTTCAGATGGTAGAGTCAGAATTTGGCGTAAACAGAATGAGAACATGGAACCATCATGCCTTGTTACCACTGTGCAGGCTGGTGGTGGTGGTGTAATGGTGTGGGGGATGTTTTCCTGGCACACTTTAGGCCCCTTAGTGCCAATTGGGCATCGTTTAAATGCCACGGCCTACCTGAGCATTGTTTCTGACCATGTCCATCCCTTTATGGCCACCATGTACCCATCCTCTGATGGCTACTTCCACCATGTCACAAAGCTCTAATCATTTCAAATTGGTTTCTTGAACATGACAATGAGTTCACTGTACTAAAATGGCCTCCACAGTCACCAGATCTCAACCCAATAGAGCATCTTTGGGATGTGGTGGAACGGGAGATTCGCATCATGGATGTGCAGCCGACAAATCTGCGGCAACTGTGTGATGCCATCATGTCAATATGGACCAAACTCCCTGAGGAATGCTTCCAGCACCTTGTTGAATCTATGCCACGAAGAATTGAGGCAGTTCTGAAGGCAAAAGGGGGTCCAACCCGTTACTAGCATGGGGTACCTAATAAAGTGGCCGGTGAGTGTATATATATATATATATATGTATTTGTTTTGAACTGTTATTGACAGTCTACTCGTTGTATTAGTTCTGTTATACTTATATTAATTCCCATATGAAAAACTAATAATAGTCAATTAAATGCATTATGATGCTGCATGGCATCAGTGCTCAGATGTGACATCAGTTTTGAGTATTTATCATGAATGTGAAACCACAAGAGCTAAGAAACAGGACTGGTTTTGAAGGGAAGCCTGCCAATACTGATGTTAGTGAAGTGACGCCCTTGTTTAAGCCATGTTCATTATAGACAAAAGCATTTATTTATTTAGACAGCATGTTTCGCTTTGATGTAGAAGAGCAAAAGTTTGCTGAAAACAGAAGGGTAAGGAGGATCTCTCCTTAATAAAGCAGGCCATAGAGATCTAATCTGCTACGTGTATTTCTTGCATGCCTGAATGAGGTCATTGCTCAGAGACTATTGTGTAAATGTGTTTCCTGAGGTGTTCACACAGTACAGTCTACAAGCTCAACTAATGTCCTCAGGAAATCTCTGAAATAGTGTGCATTTCCGTGTCGTGCTCTTTTCAAAGCTGTCCTTGGTTAAGAACAGTGTTGCTCAACAATTATGAAGAAAGACTCAATGATCTCATGTGCATTTCCACTGAGAGCGACTTCTCTGGATCTCATCATAAAGGACTTTTCCCCCTTGAAAAGAAAGACTAGAAAATGTCTGCATTTAATTTGTGTGCAAAGACACACTAAGTTATGTGGAGCTAAAGATATGCGAGTAAATTTATTGTTTTATTTTTAGACATGGAAATCAGAACAGTCGAGATGCGTGGTTGGCGTCGCCATCATGTGAACACAGACAGATAAACATGAATGATAAACACTTGACTTCTGTGTAATAGCCCAATAAAACTGAGTCATTAGTGTTATAAAAACTACTGTGCCATATAATGGGATTAGATTAATCTCATGGTAGTCAATGATTATTATATATGCCATGGCGGTACTTTAAGGAATACAATGGTTGGTAGATATTATAGTAATATGGCACCACTGTACTTTGGTAAGTCATTTTGTGATAATAAAAAATCAAGTCATAAGTATGATTTTAAAAAAGTCCCTTAGGGGATAAAAAATTAAAAAATTATGGCATACAAGTAATACTTTAAACAAAAATGGAAACTATAATTATGATATAGAAAGTCACAATTATTCTCACAATTTTGACTTTTTATGTCATTACTTGGTAGGCTGTGTCATATTTATGACTTAAAATTTTGACTTTTTATGTCAAAACTATGAAATATATGAGGTTATATAGTACAGATACTACAAGTCAAATATTACTCCATTGCAAGTAAAAGTTGTAAAGACCGAATTTTACTTAAGTAAAAGTACAGAAGTATGCTACTCGTTTTTAAAAGTACTTAAGTATCAAAAGTAAAAAGTAAATGCATTGTTTTATTATTGTTGCATTGCGTTACAACCCTGGCTCTAGGGATGCAACATAAAGGACACAAAAACAGAAATCTGCCAATCAAAAGAAAGTTTATTTAATATAAAAAGAAAATAGGGACTGTAGTGGCATGAACACTGCAGTGTTGGCTGCAAGACGAGAGAGAGAGCGCATGTGTCCTAGATTTAGAGTCCATGGCTCCCTTCAGGTGACACCACACCAACTGAATTAACCGGTTGATTGCAGGTGAGCTACCAGGGAGACTGCAATGAAACACAGATTAGAACACATTGTTCTATGTAATACTTACAGTACCTTATGCCTCTGAATCTATGCCTGCCTACCAGGGCCGGATTATCCATAGATGGGATTGGGCGAGTGCCCTGGGGCACCAGCCAATAGGAGGGCACCAAGGGCCGCATTATGGGGCCCAAGCGAGTAGAAGAATTTTTTTTAACATTTCCGATAATGGAGCGTATATTTGCACTAAGTGCCTGTCTTTTTGACAAAAAATACGCCCGCCGCCACTAAATATCTACAGTGGCATAGGTCGTAGGGTAGCTTTGAAAAGTAGCTTTAAAGTAGCTCTCGACACGTTTTACAAAATCTGATGGGAAAGAAAAAATAATTTATGAACTTTACTCCAACATAGTACAACAAAGTTCCTTTTTAAGTCAGTAAAATTGTTAATGCCAAATTAAAATTAATTTTTAATCCTGCCCTGCTGCCTACCCTCATATCAATATCACATTTATTTCTAGAACACGGTTCCAGTAGTGGGATTGAATGTGAGATTGAATAAGTGCATTTAATAACATCCACAATGGTTCCAAATAGTGCCTAAAGTTTTTGGGCTTTTAGTATAGGCTATGTTAGCCTTACTGTTATCTATGCTAGTGTGCTCCAAAACAATGACAAAAGTCGCATTTAGAAGACCAAACCCAACGTTGAAAATGAAAATCATTTTGATGTCAGAATCCAACGCCAGAGATTAACAGTTAATCTCCAATGTTGGACAGACGTTGCTTTGTGGTTGAAAATGAAAATCGGGTTGACGTCAGAAAGCAACATTAGTCGGGTTCTTCTGACATCACCCGACGGTAATATGTGGTAAAAATATGCGGTAGGCTAATAGTGAATCATGTTTGATGTGTGTTCGGGTGTGCTCAAGCCAATAGCTGTTCAGAACCCACAGAAGAGACCCTCCTCCTCCTGAACCTTCTCAACCTGTCCGTTAGTTTCCCTTCACTTCACTCACTGCACTCTGGGAAGCGAGCTGATAAACGCAGCCGAGAGATAAAAGAAATGTTTTTTCCGTTCCCCCAGAAGAACCGTAGCGAGCGTCGCCTGAGACAGCGGTGTGTTTGTGGACATGTATTCGTCATCGCTCCGTTTCTGTGAGGTAGGAGTTAGCCAGTCTCTCAACACACACACGTTAAATGTTTTATTGACATGTTGTGTCTTGTAACAGCCGTGGTGTCAGGTGTATCGTATTGGGACTGCGTGTAACCGTGTGATTGTGTAATTCATATGTGTTGAACGGGAGTTGTTGGGCTAAAGGTAATAAGTCTTGGGTAGTTTGAGGTTCGAGCAGCTAATGCGCTAACCGGATGTGTCTGTTACCGTTATAACTGCATGACACACGAGCGAGCGGTCGCCGTGCTGTTTCCATTGGTTACACGGTTTGTTGTTTAAAAATGTGTTTTAACGATGACTAGTTGTTAAAGTAGTGTGTGTGTGTGTGTGTTCTGGATTTTGAGGTCTTTGACGCAGTGAAATGAGTAACGTTATACTAACAAAACCACCCTAAAAGTAATGGTAATGTAGCGTGTTACCATGCTATATTAATGTTACCATGTGTTTGGAAATGCATCACAATAAATACATGTTTGACAATTTTATTATAATTAGAAAACAACAGGTATTATATAATATCATTTAGTATTTTATAATTAATATAATGTAATATTTTATATTATTGTGATTTAATATATAATATACACTAAGTTACCGGTCATAAGTTTGGAGGCATTACTATTTTTTTTTTTTTTTTTAAATAATAGTTTTCTATTTTAATATACTTTAAAATATAATTTATATCTGTGATCAAAGCTGAATTTTCAGCATCAATATTGTTTTTGGGAACCTGTGTTTTCAGGATTCATTGATGAATACAAAGTTAAAAAGAACAACATTTATTCGAAATATAAATCCTTCCTAACAATATAAATCTTTACTATCACTTTTTATCTATTTAACACATCCTTGCTAAACATTGACCGAAACGTTGCTAATAAAACATTTTAAATTACTTGCAAGTACTGATAGTGTGCGGGAGTTCCTTATTTGCAGATTAAAAATTAGAAAGAAAAAAATTACTGACCCCAAACTTTTGAACGGTAGTGTATATTGAAAATTCAGCTTTGATCACAGGAATAAATTACATTTTACAATATATTCAAATAGAAAACTATTATTTCAAATTATAATAATATTTCACAATATTACTGTTTTTTTCTGTATTTTTGATCAAATAAATACAGGCTTGATGAGCAGAAGAGACTTCTTTCAAAAACATTAAAAATAGTAATGTTTTCAAACTTTTGACTGGTTCTGTATACAATATCATTTATGTAATTATAATAAAATTTCTGTCCATTTCTGTCTCCTCGCTGTAGCAGATGGAGATATACATTTACAAATGTTTTGCTATTAGATGTACCAACGAACATAAGAGACTCCATAGACTCCCGGCATCTGAGCCACTAAGGATACCGTGGTTGAAATTAATTTATGAAGGAAATGTGCCGAAGAAAGTCGTTTAAGTGTTATATTTTTGCGCAAATCATCAATTACGCCGGACTGCTTCACAAACGCTGGTCAGTTCAACGCTGGCTTTGCACTAAAATTGCTTCTGAAAGATTTTTAGATTAACATGACGGTACATGCCTGTCGATGAGTAACTCCACAACAACTGCTTTAATTTATCCACTAACTATTCAGAAACGTCCAGTTGCGTTATAAAAGTTGTAATTCTTCCTGAGTCTCTCCATCAGTGTCCGACTCCTGATCGAAACGCAAGGCTGAACACCGCTATTCTCCAGTTTTGTTGTTGCGCTTGCTGGAGTATCTGAAGCACGAGCTGTAAAGGCTCCGCCCTCTTCTGGAAAGGAGCTCATTTGCATTTAAAGGGACACACACAAAAACTGTGTGTTTTTGCTCGCACCCAAATAGGGACAAATTTGACAAGCTATAATAAATGATCTATGGGGTATTTTTTTCAGCTGAAACTTCAGACACATTCTGAGGACACCAGAGACTTGTTACATCTTGTGAAAAGGGGCACATTATGTCCCCTTTAATGAATATCCTTTAAAAAAAATATACTAAATATTAGGTAAGAACTGTTTAAGTTTGTACCACAACCCTATAAAGCTTTAGCTGTTGATATATAGGCTTCAGTGTATTTTAATGTTTTTTTTTTTTTTAAAGTCCCCCTGTAAAAGACCATACAGATCCAAATAACTATTGACCAATCGCTCTTACCAGTTGCCTCTGTAAAACAATGGAGAGAATGGTAAATAATCGACTTGTTTGGACACTGGAATCGAAGAAACAAATAAGTGATTATCAATGTGGCTTTAGACGTGGAAAGTGCACTTTGGATCAATTAATTCGACTGGAAACTTATATTAGAGATGGTTTCATTAGAAAAGAACATGTTGTTGCTGTCTTTTTTGACTTGGAAAAAGCACATGATCATACAACATGGAGATATGGAATCTTGGAAGATCTTTACCACATGGGATTTAGAGGACGATTACCCATCTTCATTTCAAATTTTTTGGCTAGCAGATATTTTAAAGTAGGAAACACCTTGTCGGATATTCACAAACAAGAAATTGGAGAACCTCAGGGAAGCATTCTCTCTGTCACTCTTTTCAGCATTAAAATAAACAGCATTGAGAATATCATCGGATCTAATATATTCTGCAGCCTATATGTGGATGATCTCTGCATTGGTTATAGAGGGAAGAACATGAGTACAATTGAAAGGCAACTGCAGTTATGTATTCAAAAAATATATCTGTGGTCAGTTGAAAATGGATTCAAATTCTAGAAATCTAAAAACAGTCTGTACCCACTTCTGTATCCAGCGATCCCTTCATCATGATCCAAAACTCTTCATTAATGGAGAACCGATTAATGTTGTTAAGGAAATCAAGTACTTAGGTCTTCTATTTGACAACAAAATGACTTTCATTCCTCATTTGAAATCACTAAAGAACAGGGGCCATATTCACAAAGAATTTTATCTTACCACTAGGAGTACTCCTAAATCGCACTAAAATATTTTAGCTAGGAGTTTTCTCTTAAAAGTTATTCACAACGCCTTTCAGACCTACTCTTAGTAAGGACAAATGACAACTCCTAAACTAAGAGTGAGTCATCGTTGCTATGGATGACGTCAGTTCTCATGCAGAGCTTCCTCGCAGTGATCACGGTGATTGGTTGTTAGATGACAGGGCCATCATGCGGAGCATAACACAGACGCAACAAATCATGGAATTACGACATCTAAATATGTCTGTGTCCTACACAAAATAATAATAGTAGTAATGTCATCGAAATGCATATATAATGACATGTTTGTGGAGGCTCCAGTGAAGTGTAATTCTAAAAAGGCAGAGAGAGAGAGAGAAAAGTCGTGAATTAAATTAAATCAAGGTAGCCTAATACCCTAATGAAAACCTCCACTTGCCTAATAATGAAAAACGACACTTGCATTAACACTTGCTTGGTTAATTGACATCCTATTAGCCTAAATAGACTACTTAAAGCAAGGAAATGTTGCTCCTATTGAAGTAATGTAATAGTTGAATGACGGTGGATTATGAACTCGCCAAAATGGAAAAGACTGGACGCAGGATCAGTTACTGCTGCTGGCCCAGTTGGTGCTGAAAAAAAAAACATAATAAAAGGGAAATTCGGCACTGGGATATCAAGCAAAACTAAGCGTGAGACATGGGAGAGGATTTGTTCGCAGATCAATGCAGCGTTCCCGCTTGTGTCGCGGACCCCGGACGACTGCGAGAGGCGGTGGTGTGCGCTACAATCCTTTGTGAATAGGTCTTAGTGAGTTAGGAGTCCTCTTGACTTAAGCTGTCCCAGACTTAGGTGCTACTTTTAGGGCTAAAATGCTTCGTGAATTACTCTTGAGGAGTCCTATAAGTTAGGAGTGACACGCCCATTATTTTTAGGAGTTGGTCCTAAATTCGCCAGTTAGGAGCTACTTTTAGCCTTAAAATTCTTTGTGAATACGGCCCCAGTTCCTCAGTATTATTTTTTGCTGGGTTCCAGGACATGTTGGACTTTCAGCAAATGAACGAGCTGATGCCGCTGCTAAGGAAGCTCTTAATCAGGAAGTTAATGATTGTCAAATTCCTCCCTCAGATATCAGACCGATTATTATTATAATCGATATATTGTAAATAAGTGGCAAGAAGAGTGGAATATGTGCAAGAATAATAAGTTGTATGAAACTCATCCGGAAATAACAAACAGACTTTCTATCAATTTTAAAACTAGACTTGATCAAGTGGTCTACACCAGATGCCGTATGGGTCACACAAGTTTGACCCATGCTTTTTTGCTTAAAGGTAAAGAAGACCCAACTTTATGTATGTTTGGTAAAATTCCCTTATCTGTCAAACATATTTTGTTAGATTGTCCTGGACTTAACGTAAGCAGAATGCTCTTTTATGAAGTTACTTCATTGGAGGACATATTTAATGAGATTATGTTAATGTTGATATGTTAATTAAAAAAAATATATTGTTTAATATGACTTGTTGTTTATATTTGTTTTGTTTTTATTGTATTTATATGATATTTGTTTTTTTGTAAGTGAATTTTTGCCATGAAAATAGCTTTGAATGCTGACATGGCATGAAATAAAATAATCTGAATCTGAAAGTCCCCCTGTAGTCTAATTGTATCCCTTAAAGGATCATTTTGGTGATCTTTGATGATGACACATTTAAACATTTTTTCCTTAAATCTTCATGCCTTAAAATAGCTTGAATGTAACTCTACACCCTTGCCTCATTTAGTATACGCGGTTGGTTCTATGAATATCTTGGTTACAAGTTTGTGACAGCGATTTCAAACCGTGTTTTTGAGACTGTCTTTGGTTCACTGCAGATTTAAGGAGAAAATACTCAGCAATGGTGTTGTTGACTTATGAATTTACACATGGTTTGTCTTAAAGCATTTTAAAAACACCACAGAGACACACAAACAACATTAAAAGCTGGATTTTCACCACAGGGAAAGGGACTTTAATGAAAATGCTGAAATATTCATACTGAATTTACCACAACATCTGCAGTTTTCACCAAAAGGTCATAGTTTTAGTTGATAATAATAATAATGTGGGATCACTTTCAGATGCTGTACAATGTTTTGTTTGGTTACCTAAAAATGGGCTTCATGTCGCAACATTTGTAATAACTGGTTTTATTCAAGTCAAAAATATGATTTAATGTGACTGGTACAGACAACATGGATAGATCAGGTAAAACGTGTTAAGCAGCTTCCAGAATTATTAAAAATACATAATTTAAAAGGGTCAGAACATTAGTTGACTTTAGCAACTAACTAGGGTGGTTTGGGGAAAACTATCTTGGGCTGCGCTTCTCCAAAGCATTGTGAGCTAAGTTGATCGTAGAACTGTATTACCTTTGAGAAAAACAGCCCTGGGAAGTGTTTGTGAAAGTGAGCTTTAGTTCACTGTCAGGCCTGTCACTGCATGTTATGAAGGTCTGGACGGACACACATTAAACAAATACGTCTATCGAGTCTGGCCTGTGATGAACTCTGAAACCGTTCAGTGTCTGAGTTCCTCAAGTTTCACCAATGTGTTGCGTGCTTGTGTTTTCAGGTGCCTCGGACCAGATGAAGCCTCGTGTGAGATGATCAGGATGAAGTCCACGCGGAGCTTCATGTTTTTGATCTGTCCTATCATGGTGCTGATATTCCTCTACTATTCCTCTGGCAGACTGCACCTACGGACCTCAGTGCAGAAATCTCGTGAGTGTAAATGTTGTCAAATGTGACACACACGCCTGGATGTTTCTAGTAATCCTCAACACCTTGATTAGCAGGTTAGACATGTTAAAGGGATAGTTCACTTTGAAATTAATTTTTGGTATGTTTTAGCTTACCTCAAGGGCATCCAAGATGTAGGTGTCTTTGTTTCCGCAGTAGTTTCAATTTTGATATTTTTAGGTCAAACCGTTCTTGTCTGTCAGTCATATAATGCAGGTCTATGGTCACCACCTCAAAGAGCATGCACAGAGAAGTCCAAATTAAACATGATTTAATGACTCGTAAATGTAAGTACACATTGATGGCCTAAGACATGAAACGAGCGGTTTGTGTGAGAAAACCAACAGTATTTATATCGTTTTTACATCTTGTAAACACAGCCACGTCCAAGTGATCTGAGGGCGCCAGCGCTTCGGTCTGTGCAAGAGCCGGAAGTGATCTCTTCCAAAAAAACAAAAAAAAATCAACGTTGTCTGTTGATATATCGAAATCGTCTTCCATTGCGATTTCCTGTATATCTAAATATGTTTAGATCTTCACAGTGAAAGGTAACACTTCCGAAATCTGTGTAAACAATGAGTGACGTACACGCGCGAGAGATCACTTCCAGCGCTTGCGCAGACCGAAGCGCCGGCGCCCTCAGATCACTTGGACGTGGCTGTGTTTACAAGAGGTAAAAACGATATAAATACTGTTGGTTTTCTCACACAAACCGCTCGTTTCGTGTCTTAGGCCATCAATGTGTACTTACATTTACGAGTCATTAAATCATGTTTAATTTGGACTTCTCTGGTCATGCTCTTTGAGGTGGTGACCATAGACCTGCATTATATGACTGACAGACAAGAACGGTTTGACCTAAAAATATCAAAATTGAAACTACTGCGGAAACAAAGACACCTACATCTTGGATGCCCTTGAGGTAAGCTAAAACATACCAACAATTAATTTCAAAGTGAACTATCCCTTTAAATTGGACTTCAGCCCGTCAGAAGCAGATGCACGGCTTTAGATGAATTAAAATGATTGTCAGGGTGTGTGTGTGGTTACAGCATGGATCCTTACTTTCATGAGTGGATCTCGAAGCAGCTCTAGTTAGTTAGTCACATGACTGAATCCCCTTATGAGTGTGGTGTCGTTTAAAGTAAATGTTTGAAAGTGCACGGGGATCTCTCAAAATGCTTTTGTGCGAGGTTGTTTCTATAATGCCGACAGCTTTTTTATTTCTCTAAACTGTGAATTGCCACAAACTTTTCCCTTCTCTAGATTGGGTGGTTTTCTATCATGACTGGATTTCCCCCATATATCGTGCCTAAAATTAAGTCTGTCTGTTCAGCAACTCTTCTTCCTGTCTGGCATCAAATTACTGGTGAAGTTATGATCTTTAACTGAAAAGACCCTGAAAAGTAAAAAGGTTTGCTATGATGGCCAGAGGAGGGAGCTAAAGACCCCATCATCACTGACCACATTCACCTCCTGGAATCAGTCAAAAGAAGCCAGAAAATGGTCAGCTTTGAAAGCAAAATTATACACAAACTGATTATTGCTATGACATGCTGCTTAATATTACCCAGCACATGTGTTTGTTTAGAAAGATCTATTTTTGTCTCTTCACATATTTTGTATTCCCCAAAGGAACCTTGTAGATGTGCATCTGTTAACCGTTTTTGGTTTCGCCCCGACTGTACTTTCACAGGTGTGATGCAGCACTACCTCGATCAAATGTCACAGTGTAAAAACTGTGGTATCTGATATCATCGCCACCTCAAATCTCAAATGAGATTCATTATATAACTGAAGGAATTTGAGTCCTGTAATTATATTAATAGTTAACAACAAAGTAAACTACCATTCAAAAATTTGGGGTTTGTATTGTAAGAATGATTTTATGCTCACCTGTCTGTGAAATAAGCAATATTGTCAAATGTATTTAAAATAAAACATTTCTATTTATTCCTGTGATCAAAGCTGAATTTTCAGCATCATTACTCCAGTCTTCAGTGTCACATGATCCTTCAGAAATGGGTTACTGTGTAGAGCTACGTCTTAGTTGGTGCTTCTTAGTTTTAACATCTACTCTCGTGTATTGGAAATCATAAAAGGTTTCACTTTTGAGCAATTTAATGAATTTTTTGCAGAATAATAGTGTTCATTAAACATCTTACTCACCCCAAACTTTTGAATATTATTGTATATTGTCACATATTATAAATAAATACATATGTAAGAGAATCGGCCAAGATGAAATGGCAGATATCGCTCATGTTTGTGATAATAAAAACCAGAAACACGTATACATCGGCTCTTATCAACCTATCTGACACTATCGAGTCGGAAAGTGTGACCAGCATTTGGTTCGACTAAAAGGCATAAGTAAAAATGTGCCATTATTACATCATATTTTGACACATAAAACCAGTTAATGGAGGTGTTGTCGCATAAATGCACTTTAATTGTATGTTTTGTATAACCATTTGTGGAGTTTGGGTAACAAAGTAATGGCAAGTAATGCAAACTTTTGTGTTTTAAACATACAGTGGAACTGGGAATAATCTCTTTAACTAAGACTGATCAGCATTTGTTAGTAATTCTGTTGCATTTGGCTTTTTGGCTCAAGCAACAGACACAAGCTTCAGGATATTTTCTCTTTAACCTGGCTGCGTCACACTAAAATTGAACCACAAAATGCTACCATATTTGCTTACCGTGTAACTTGTCTAATATAAAATCTCACATGTGCAAGAACAGGAAATCAGCTTTTCTCTGCTCACACTCTCACACAGGTTTTGCTGCTGCAGTGTTTTGCATGTTCCTCTTCCGAATATGGTGTGTTTTTCTGAGAAATGTCTTCCACCTGGCAGAAACACTCGACTGTGTGTCAGAATTGAATTTGTTCTTTGCTGTTGTATTCTGGATGTTTGGCACAACTTTCAAACTGTTTTATTAGATTTGATGGAGTCCAACAGATACAACGGTTTATCAACACTTCTCTTGCAGCCTGCAAATCTCCTACTCTGCAGAACACATTTATGATTATTACTATTTCCCATATTTTAGAATAATAGTCAAATCAAAGCTTCTTTATATTTGAGCTGCTTCTGTGTCCTTTGACATTCTTAAGGTTCATGAAGTTTACAAGCTGTCATATCCATCTCATTTCATTTTTATGTATAGAAATGCATATGATGCACATGATACAATTTGAAGTATTTAGCAGAAGCTTGTTAAAGGCATGTATCACACATTATATAAACCATGTTACTTACAGCTAAATTGGTTTATTTGCTGGTTAGTAAATTTGGGACTTTTTAAATGTGTGCATTTTCATATTTTTTTCGAGGAACTACAAATGCTGGCTGTGTATTAACCTAGTTTGTCCAGTTCATTCATGGACCTGATTGCTTTACAAATGAATGCATTGTTTCTATGAGCCTGTACTGTATTGCACTCTTTGCAGGCCTGTTTGTTTGGTTTAGTTGCAGTGTGGTTGTTTGAACTGCTAACCCGTGTGTGAGATGCTAATGGCCCAGATCTGCTGTCATCACACTAGTGCGGGAGCTGCTGTTTAAACTGTTTACAGAGACACTAACAGCATCTGAGGTGATGACATGCCTTCTGTATGCTGAACTCACACTCTTGTGTTTCAGAGGCTCCTTTGGATAGTTTACTCTCCGTGGGACGTGTAGTAGTTTCAGGTAGAGGTTCATCCTATATCATACCTTACATTAATGTTGGGAGATTCTGTATAATTGCATTATGATGAAGACCGGGGTTAGCTGTCATAGTCTTTGTGCATACATTTTTTTTTTTTTTATGCTTGTGTGCGCATATAAATATTATATATATTTTTATTAGGGCTGGGTATTGAGACAATTTTCACGATTCGATATCAAATCATGTACATGGCAAATTTTTTCAATAAAAAAAAGTCTATAATATACAGGGAGTCAGCTGGTACATTACTATAACATTGAAGATTAATTAACTGATTTGTTTGCAAACACTTAAATTACACACCAGGAAGTTTAATAAACTTATAATACTGTATAATTATGTTTCTACTCCAATTCATTTTTTGAAATATAAACGATTGCAGGATTTATTCAAACAAAAAATAGATAATAGTGCATATATTTAGCAAAATGTTAATTTATGGTCATTCAATGGCTTCTGTGAGGTAAATGTGGCATTAAAAAGCTGTTTTATTGACATCTTTCGGCGGTTTAAACGCTGATTGAGCGATTACATGAAATAACATGATGTATCTTCTTTCATCATACTTTCTGATAAAGTAGTTAAAGGGGTGGTAAATGCCCTTTTCACAAGATGTAAAATAAATCTCTGATGTCCCCAGAGTGTGTATGTGAAGTTTTACCTCAAAACACCCCACAGATATTTGTATATAGCATGTTAAAGTTGTCACTTGTTGAGTGTGAGCAAAAACCCTTTAAATGCAAATTAGCTGCAAAACTTTGAGCGTTGAAACTTTGCAGATGTAACTTTGAAAGAGCGCCAAAATTGTATTTATTATTATTTGAATTCCATAAAAAATGGACAGAATTGAAAATCTGCTACTTTGTTTCATATCAAAAGTAACAAAGCTCAAAGATTATTGCGATTTACCGGATGGGAGGCGCTGTAAATGTTTCTTTCATTTATCAACTGAAAACAGACTAAATTAAGAATCGATTAAAATCGAGAAATCTTTTTTTTTTACCCAGCCCTAATTTTTATATACATACGCTTTCACAGTAGTTTGGGGTCAGTACGATTTTTAAAGAAGAGTCTTATGTATTTATTTGAACAAAATATATTGTATTGTATTATTTATTTAAAATAACTATTCACCAATTTAATATATTTTACAATTAAATGTTTTTATCAAGAAACATTTCTGATTGTTATCAACGTTGAAAACAGTTGTGCTGCTTCATATTTTTGTGGAAACTGATACTTTTTTTTCTAGGATTCTTTGATTAATAGAAAGTTGTGCAAAGAATGCACATTTATTTAAAATTGAAATAGTTTGTAACATTACATTTCTTTACTGTAATTTTATCAATTTAATGCATCCTTTCCTTACTGAATAAAAGTATTCATTTCTTTAAAAAAATCTCACTGACTCCAATTTTTCGAACATTTATGTAAAACTATATATATATATACATATAAGTATATATTTTTGAGAAAAATGCTTATTTTCTCAAGCAACCTAGTCCAAAACCTAATAAAGGATTTAATCTCCCAACATTATGAAGCTTCTCCATTGCGTTGAATGTTTTATGATTTCTCCTACCATGTAAATACCATTATTACAATGTTTCCCATATTAAAATCTAAAAAAAGATTACAGAAATGATACTACAACTAATGTTGAAATAACGATAAATGTACTGATAATGACTAAATCATGATTAAATCATTAAAGTTATGTTTCCAATAAGATACGACTTATATAATGCCCTTTTCACAAGATGTAAAATAAGTCATAATGCCCTTTTCACAAGATGTAAAATAAGTCTCTGATGTCCCCAGAGTGTGTATGTGAAGTCTTAGCTCGAAATACCCCACAGATAATTTAATAAAGCATGTTAAAATTGTCACTTTTTGAGAGTGAGCAAAAACACACCGTTTTTGTGTCTGTCCCTTTAAATGCAAATGAGCTGCTGCTCACGGCACAGGAGGCGGAGCTTCAACAGCTTGTGTCCTTGTACCTCACACAGACATGCACTGAAAATGTCAATGTTTTATGTTCAAACCGGAGTCAGACAATAATGGAGAGACTCAAGAAGTGACAACAGAATGCAACAGGACATTTCTGAATGGTTAGTTGATGAATTTATGTAGTATCTTCAAGACATTGATTAGCATATTCTGTTATGATAATCTATAAATCGTGTTACCGGGGGAGGGGTTTATGTAAATTTTAGTATTTTAATTTTAGTAATTTTAGTCCATATCAGCCGTTCGTTGTAGTCCTTAAAAAGCGATTTCTTTAAAAGAAAATATCTCCCCTTGGCCCTTGCTTTGAACTTTGATCGTTGTAACTTTGCAGATGTTGTTAATGCTCAAACAGCAACATTACACACTAACTAAATTAAAAAAAGTGAAATCATAATCAACCACCCCTTTAAGGTCTATCAACTATATCTGTGACCTGCAAATACTTTCCTGGTTTTTAAACACATATGTTAACTGTAATACAGGTATAAACATTTAAAATATACACCTATTGCACCTTTTCAAAGACAGCCATTAGATCTCTCAGTAGAGCTTGAGCTGGCTTTGACCCAGAATATTCCTTCACACACACACACGCACGCAGTGATAACCGGCGGCTGACAGAAGCGCTGTGATGTTTGTAAGGCTCTTTGTGCTGTGAACTAACACTCGCTGCAGCTCCTGCGACCTCTAATGCAACACCTCTGCTATCTCAGGCTCGCTAATGCAGCAGTGTGCTGAAACTCTTTCTTTCTAAGGTTATTTTATCAAAAATGACTTGACTTGTTTTTTTTCAGGGTTTCCGTTTGTTGGAAAGTAACACATCTCTGTAATATCCTTCTGTTTTGAACTCAACGTGATGACATCACGTCACTGTCCTTCATGGGTTATGAAACATTAATACTTGGTTCAGTGAACTATGCAGTATAATGTTGCTTGTCTGCAGCGCTTGATGGCAGTCAGGCCTTTATAAATATGACTTTATAAAAAATAAAAATAAAAATTTATCAGCTTACGCAAGTTCATAAAGATGTTTTTTAGTTGTGATTGCATGTCATAATTGTCATTCTGGTATGAAATATGAAACTACTCTTTTTACTCTCACACAATAAATTCCAACACCATTCAATATTTCATGTATTTTTAATGATTGTCTGACTGTACGTAGTTTCATTTAAATGGGACCTATTATGCCTCTTTTTACAAGATGTAATAGAAGTCTTGGCTATTCCCTGAATGTGTCTGTGAAGTTTCAGCTCAAAATACCCCACAGATCAATTATTATACAATGCCCAAAAATGCGCTGTTTTCGTGTGTGTCTCTTTAAAGGATTAATTCACTCAAAAATGAAGATATTTAGAAGAATATGCGTAAGTTTCTGTTCCCCACTGACTTCCATAGAAGGAAAAAAAAAATACTATGGAAGTCAATGGCTCCACTGTTGGGTGATTACATGATGACAGAATTTTTATTTTTGGGTGAACTATCCCTTTAAATGCAAATGAGCCCAGAAGTGGGCTGTGCCTTTACATCTCGAGCCTCGCCTCGGCTCGGATACTCCGTCAACAACAAAACAGGAGAAACGGTATGGAGCCGTTTCCACAGAACGCACTTTTGCATTCCACTTCACTGCTTTTCAACTTTATTTCTAGAGCACTTTCCAAAACCACAATGGGTACCAAAGTGCTGTAAAAAAAAAACATACAATTTGATACTTTGGTGTAATTTTCCAGTATTTTCTATGTAAACGTGCACCACGGACCTGTACCGTT